TAACTCTCTTCAATTGTGGTGCCCAGAATTGGACACAATATTCCAGGTGTGGTCTAACCAAGGCAGAATAGAAAACAGAACTGGATAAACAGTATATCTGTTTTATATTTTCTTCTCCATAGTCATTTCTGTTAGGATCAGCTGAGTAATATCACTGCTCAACTGAGTAGTCATTACTGCTAATGGCAGTATTATTATTATTATTACTACTGCTGTATTCATTATACACCACATTTCTTTCTTGCTCAAGACCCAAAGCATCTCATGACATCATCATTATCATATTCATTTATACTCCGCATTCCTTTCTTGATTGAGATTCAAAGCATCTGATGACACTACTACTATTATTATGCGTTGTCGAAGGCTTTCATGGCCGGAATCACTGGGTTGCAGTGAGTTTTCCGGGGTGTCTGGCCATTTTGCAGCTGACACATGGTAATTTTGCCAGCGCCGATTGTTTTTACGTGCAGGCCAAGGTCTTGAGGAACTGCACCCAGTGTGCCGAACCCCACTGGGACCACTTTGACTGGCTTGTGCCAGAATCTTTGCAGTTTGATTTTTAAATCCTCGCATTGTGTCAGCTTTTCAAATTGCTTCTCTTCAATTCTGGGGTTATTATTATTATTACTATTATTAGTCCAAACATTGAGACCAAACCCTGTCTCCTTTATTGGGGTCAGTTTGGGGGAAGGCTTTCATCTATTAGTGGAAGCAACCGGCCAATCAGAGAGCAGGGGATGATTGACAAGCTTAACAGTGGCCCAATGGGAGCTTGGCGATTTCCTCGGTAGCTGATTGGATGCCTAGAAATGACAACAATGCTGGCCTTTGGAGCTTGTTGAGCCAGATCTGTGGCCTCTTCCAGGCAAGGGAATGAATAACAACAGCTTAGAATAAATCACAACATCAACAACAACTTGGCCTTGTGTCTCTCCTTGATGAGCCATGGATTCCAAAGAGATTCCACCTCTTTGGAATCCATGGCTCATCACCTCTAGATTAGAGCCGTGTGATGGAGATGTGAATCTCTCATCCTAGAGTCTCAGCCAATTCAACATACCGGTACGTTGTAGCAGCCACGAAAACAAAGTTTCCAGAGTAGAACAACTACTTTCAAAGTAAGTACCGCACAACTTAACAGGAAATAACACTTTTAAACCGGGAACAATAACACCTTCAAATGTTGTGACATAGTGCTATCCTCTCTCTCTCTCTCTTTCTCTCTGTCAATCATATGCATCATGCCTGGGGATGGATGGGCCTCTGTCGGGAGGGACTGGATTGTGTCTTCCTTTAGGGCAGAAGGGAATTGGACTGGACAGACCTTTGCGGGGTCTCTTCCAACTCTAGGATTCTAATAATAGTATGATGATGATGATGATGATTATATAATAATAATATAAATTACAGTAATAATATAACAATGATGTAACTGGACTTAATGTCAGGGGACAACCTTTACCCTATAGTAATAATAAGAAAAATTACAGTAATAATATATTAATGATGTAATAGTAATTACAATATATTAGATAATTATTTATATTATTGCTATTATTATTAGATTATAATAATAATAAATTTTACAGTAATAATATAATAATGATATAATAGTGGCACGGTGGGTTAAAGCGCTGAGCTGCTGAACTTGCTGATCGAAAGGTCGCAGGTTCAAATCCGGGGAGCAGGGGAGCACCCGCTTTTAGACCCAGCTTCTGCCAACCTTGCAAATGTGAGTAGATTAATAGGTACCGCTCCGGTGGGAAGGTAATGGTGCTCTGTGCAGTCATGCCGTCCACATGACCTTGGAGGTGTCTACAGACAACACCGGCTCTTCAGCTTAGATGTAATAATATAATAATGATATAACAGTAATAATATATTAAATAATGATAATTATTTATATTACTATATTACTGTATTTTATTATTATATAGTAATAATAGGAGCCCCCGGTGGTGCAGTGGGTTAAAGCACTGAGCTGCTGAGCTTACTGATCGAAAGGTTGCAGGTTCGATTCCGGGGAGCGGCGTGAGCTTCCGCTGTCAGCCCTAGCTTCTGCCAACCTAGCAGTTCAAAAACATGCAAATGTGAGTAGATCAATAGGTACTGCTCCAGCGGGAAGGTAATGGCGCTCCATGCAGTCATGCCGGCCACATGACCTTGGAGGTGTCTACAGACAACACCGGCTCTTCAGCTTAGATGTAGATGAGCACCAACCTCCAGAGTTTGACACGACTGGACTTAATATCAGGGGACAACCTTTACCTTTACCTACCTAATAACATAATAATGATATAATAGTATTAAAATATTAAATAATAATGATTATATTATATAATTACTGTATTTTTATTACCGTAATAATATAATAATTATGTAATAGTAATAATATATTAAACAATAATGATGTAATGGATTGTGGCAGCACTGGTCAGCAATGAGGCTTCCCATTGACCACATACATGGGCCTTCCTCTGCTTCCCTTGCAGGCAGGCCCCACAGAGCTAGCGGCATGGTGGTAGTCACAGGGCAGAACAAAGCCAGCGGACGCCCCTCCGCCGGTGGTGCCATGTCCAGCTCCGAGGCTGAGGAGGACTTCCAGGAGCCGGCCACCCCGACAGCCACCCAACCCCAACACCCCCTGCCCCTCCTGCCCCAACAGGTAAGCGCTTCCATCCAGGCGGGAAGGGCCCATGCGATTCCAGTCTGCCTCCATTCAGAACATAGTGTCCTATACCCCGCTCTATTCTGTGCATTCAACCTTATTATAAGTAAATGAGTCAAGGGTGTGATGCGGCAGTGGAAGAGGCCAATGCCATTCCTGCCAGACATTCAGGGGTTGCACTGAACGGCCTTTGCGGGAGAGTCCCTACTATGGAATATGTAGACTGCCTTGTGGCCTGGCTGGCCATCTACTGGGAGGGCTTGGATGGTGTCTTCCTGAATGGCAAAAGGGGGCTGGACCGGATGGCCCTTGGGAGCCCCCTCCAACCCTTGGGAGATGCTAGCGGGGTACAAAGTTATAATAACTCTAGGATTTTATGATAGACTGTCTGGCCATCTGTTGGAAGGGATCATATTGTATCTTTCTTTGTGGCAGAACAGGATTGGACTGGATGGCCTTTGTGGGGAGGGAGGATCCCTTCTATGGAATATAGACTGCCTTGGTGTGGTGCGGCTGGCCATCTACCGGGAGGGGTTGTATGATGCCTTTCCCTATTATTATTATTATTATTATCACTACCAACCTGCTCTCCCCGGATTCGAACCTCTGACCTATTGGTCAGCAGTCCTGCCAGCACAAGGATTTAACCCTTTGTGCCACCAGGGGCTCCTAATAATAATAATAATAATTGAATAATATTATATTATTATTATTAGGGGAGTTGGATGGCCAGGAGGACTTGGTTGGTGCCTTCCTTTCTGGCAGAAGGGGGTAGGATAGGATGGCCTTTGTGAGTCGGTGGGTGGAGTGACCCTTCTATGGAACATAGATTGAGATCTGGCTGGCCATCTGCCAGGAGTGTTTAGATGGTCCTTTCCTGAATGGCAGAGAAGGGATGGACCATATGGCCTTTGGGGGTCCCTTCCAGCTCTCAGATTATATGATCGATTGGTTGTCTGGGAGCGGTTGGATGGTGCCTTCCTTTCTGGCAGAAGGGGGCTGGACCGGATGACCTTTAGGGGTCCCTTCCTGCAGTTCCCGGAGGTGGTGGCGCTGAACGTGGGGGGCGTGCCCTTTGCCACCCGACTGTCGACGCTGCGGCGCCACGAGGACACCATGCTGTGGGCCATGTTCAGCGGACGCCACTACATCCCCACCGACGCAGAGGGCAGATACTTCATCGACCGCGATGGGACCTACTTCGGGTGAGCGACCCCACAGAGTAAAAGGCCTCCATCCTATTACACACTCCAATATTTGTTCCTGGGTTATCAATAGACAGCTAGATGGATGAGTGATGGATGATGGACTGATTATAAATGGATGGGTGGATGGATGACAGATAGATGGATGGAGGATGGAGGAAGGATGATAGACTGATTATAGATAGATGGATGACTGATGGATGGAGGATGGATGATTGATAGATGGAGGGTGGGTGATAGACAGATAGCTAGATGAGTGATGAATGGGTGATCTATTGGTGAATAGAGGATAGACTGATTATGGATGGAAGGATGACAGACAGATGGAGGATGGATAGATGGATGATAGACAGATGGATGATAGATGGATGGAGAAAGGATGAGAGATTGATTAGAAATGGATGGATAGATGACAGTTGAATGAAGGGTGGATTTTTTTTGTCGTGTGAGAGAATTGGCCGTCTGCAAGGACGTTGCCCAGGGGACGCTCGGATGTTTTGATGTTTTATCATCCATGTGGGAGGCTTCTCTCATGTCCCCGCATGAGGAGCTGGAGCTGATAGAGCGAGCTCATCCGCCTCTCCCCGGATTCGAACCTGTGACCTGTCAGTCTTCAGTCCTGCCGGCACAGGGGTTTAAGCCACTAGGCCACCAGGGGCTCCTGGAGGGTGGATGATAGATACAGATATCTATCTATCTATCTATCTATCTATCTATCTATCTATCTATCTATCTATCTGTAGGGTGGACAGACGGACGGACGGATGGATGATAGACTGAGTTTAGATGGATGGATGATAGACAGATGAATAATGGATGGAGGAAGAATGATATACTGATTATAAATGGATGAGTGGATGACTGATAGATGGATGGAGGAGGGAAGATAGATAGATAGATAGATAGATAGATAGATAGATAGATAGATAGATAGATAGATGATAGCCTGATTATAGATGGATGGATGGTTGATAGATGATGGATGGAGGGTAGATGATAGACAGGTAGCTAGACTGATTATAAATGGAAGGATGGATGAGATAGATGGATGGATGGATGATAGACAGACAGATAGATGGATGAGTGATTATAGATAGATGGATGATAAATAGATGATAGATGGATGGATAATAGATAAATAGATGACCAGGTGGATAGAGGACCAACTGATTATGGATGGATGGATCACAGAAAGAAAGATGGATGGATGGATAGATAGATAGATAGATGATAAACAGACAAACAGGTAGATGGATGGGTAGCTGATTGACAGATAGATGGGTATAGACTGATTGTAAATGGAAAGAAGGATGACAGACAGAGAGATGGATGGATGATAGATGACCTATAGACGGATGGAGGGATGGAAGGGCGAGGCTTGTTTTCAAAGCCTTTCTCCCTCCTTTCCCTCCTTCCTGCTTTCCTTTAGGGATGTGCTGAACTTCCTGCGTTCAGGGGACTTGCCTCCGCGGGAGCGCGTGCGCTCGGTCTACAAGGAAGCCCAGTACTATTCCATCGGCCCGCTGCTTGAGAGCCTGGAAGAGCTGCAGCCCCTGAAGGGGGAGAAGGTGCGCCAGGCCTTCTTGGGACTCATGCCCTACTACAAAGGTAGGTAGGTCGGGAGGGAGGGAGAGGCCCCCTCTCAAAATAATAATAATAAATTACAGGAATAATATAATAAGGATATAATAGTAAGAATAATATATTAAATAACAATAGTAACATAATATAATAATGATATATAACAGTAATAATAATAATATAGGGATGATAATAATAATACCAATGATAGTAATAATAATAATTCCTCCAGCAGTTTTCTGCAGACCACCTGGAGCACATCCTGGAAATTGGCAAGTTTCGTCTGGTGCAGTGCAAGGCCATAATAATAATAATAATAATGGAAAAGCTGACACAATACAAGGATTTAAAGATCGAACTGCAAAGACTCTGGCACAAGCCAGTAAAGGTGGTCCCAGTAGTGATTGGCACACTGGGTCATCCGGGCGTCCCCTGGGCAACGTCCTTGCAGACGGCCAATTCTCTCACAACAGAAGCGACTTGCAGTTTCTCAAGTCGCTCCTGACACGACAAAAAAAAACAAAAACTGGGTGCAGTGCCTAAAGACCTTGGCCTGCACCTAAACACAATCTGCACGGACAAAATTACCATCTGTCACCTGCAAAAGGCCACCTTACTGGGATCTGCACGCATTATTCGCCAATAAGGGTCCAATGTATGATCAAATACAACAGCCAGCATAGTGATCTCGTTTGCTGTGTACTAATCTTGTTGTGTTTCAAATAATGATGATGATGATGATGATAATGATGATAAGGATAATGATATACTTGGACCTAATATGCATTGTTGTTATTATGTACAAATCCATCTATAATAATACATGGTAATGGTAATGGTAAATGGTAATAACATAATATTATAGTAATAAATAAAATAATAATTATAATAATAAAATAAAATAATATCTATTCCCCCCCAAGATGTAGACCATCTGGGGCACATCACGGAGATTGTCAATATAATAATAATAATAAGAAGAAGAAGAAGAAGATACAATTCCTCCCACTGTTCTAGAGGCATTTCTCCTGACGTTTCGCCTGCATCTATGGCAAGCATCCTCAGAGGATCCTCACCTCTGAGGATGCTTGCCATAGATGCAGGTGAAACGTCAGGAGAGAATGCCTCTAGAACAGGGGTCCTCAAACTTTTTAAACAGAGGGCCAGGTCACAGTCCCTCAAACTGTTGGAGGGCCGGATTATAATTTGAAAAAAACATGAATGAATTCCTATGCACACTGCACAATCTTATTTTTAGTGGAAAAACACTTAAAACATTACAATAATTAAAATGAAGAACAATTTTAAAAATATAAATTTATTAGTATTTCAATGGGAAGTGTGGGCCTTCTTTTGGCTGATGAGATAGGATTGCTGTTGTTGTTGTGTGCTTTCAAGTCATTACAGACTTAGCTTGACCCTAAGCGAAGGCTGGGTAAATGATCTTGGAGGGCCGCATTTGGCCCGCGGGCCTTAGTTTGAGGACCCCTGCTCTAGAACATGGCCATATAGCCCGAAAAAACCCACAAGAACTTAGTGATTCCAGCCATGAAAGCCTTCGACAATTCCTCCCACTGTTTCCCGCCCCTGTTTGCAGACCATCTGGAGCACATCATAGAGATTGCCAAGCTGTGCGCAGTGCAGCACAAGGCTCTAATAAAATATTATAATATAATATAATAATAATATGATGATGATACAATTCCTCCCGCTGTTTCCCGCTACTGTATGCAAACCGCCTGGAGTGCATCGTGGAGATTGCCAGGCTGTGCACAGTCCAGTGCAAGGCCCTAATATAATAATAATAATAATAATAATAATAATAATAATAATAATAATAATAATAATAATAATAATGTATGATGATGATACAATCCCTTCCTCTATTTCCCACTCCTGTATGCAGACCACCTGGAACGCATCGTGGAGATTGCCAAGCTGTGCACAGTGTAGCGCAAGATCCTAATAATAATAATAATATAATACAATAATAATATAATTATGATGATGATGATACAGTTCCTCCCTCTGTTTCCTGCTCCTGTATGCAGACCACCTGCATAAAATATAATAATAATAATAATAATAATAATAATAATAATAATAATAAAAATGATGATGCTCCTGTATTCAGATCACCTGGAACGCATCATGGAGATCGCCAACATGTGCTCCATGCAATGCAAGATCCTAATAAAAATATAATACAGTATAATAATAATAATAGTATAAAGTATAATATAATAATAATATAATGATGATGATGATACTATCTCTCCCGCTGTTTCCTGCTCCTGTATGCAGACCACCTAGAGCGCATTGTGGAGATTGCCAAGCTGCGGGCGATGCAGCGCAAGGCCCGCTTTGCCAAGCTGAAGGTGTGCGTCTTCAAGGAGGAGATGCCGGTGACGCCTTATGAGTGCCCGCTCTTCAACTCGCTGCGCTTTGAGCGAGGAGGGGACGCTGGCGGTGGGGATGGCGGGGGCCCCCTCTTTGAGCACCACTGCGAGGTGGACGTTTCCTTCGGCCCCTGGGAGGCCGTTGCTGACGTCTACGACCTGCTCCACTGCATCGTGACTGACCTCTCCGCCCGCGGCATCGCCGTCGACCACCAGTGCATCGGGGTCTGCGACAAGCACCTGGTCAACCACTACTACTGCAAGCGGCCCATCTACGAATTCAAGATCACGTGGTGGTGAGGATGACACCGAGGATGCCATCTTGGGAAACACAGACACGCTATGCACCAACGCACCTGCGCCGCCGGGAAAGAAACCTACGGGAGCCTCTTTGGTGCTTTCCGGAGGGAGAACACGTGCACTTCTCCTCATTGCCTTGCGCTCGCCCCTCGCCTTCACCACAGGGTCTTCTGCGTCCGAACCGCTTTGTTCAGCCTCCGCAGACAGGAAGTCATACATTTTTAACACAAAAGAGGAGGAACTTGTGGACGATCACATCCTGGACCTTGCGTATTATGTTTTATGTCTTATGGCCGTGACGGACCAGTGCATTCTGGGAGCGTCAAGACCGAAATGAAGGAGCCATGGGCAATTCGATATGCAAATTGCATTTTTGTTTCCCTTCTTGTCTCTTTTCTTTCTTTCTTCTCACCGTCCTTTCTTCGTCTTCCCTTTTTTCTTCTTTCTTTTCATCCCTCTCCTTTCTCTTCCTTCCTTCCCTTTTTCTTTTGTTCTTTTCTTCCTCCTCCTTTGCTTTTTTGCATACTTTCCCCTCTTTCTCTTCCATGATTTTTCTCTTTCCCTCCTTTTTTTGTCCATTTTTTCTTTCTCTGTCTTTCCTCCCCTTTCCTTTTTCTTCCTTMTGACCCTTCTTTTTCTTTCTTCCTCCCCTCTTCTTTCCCCCCTTTCTTTCCTTTTCATCCTTCCTTTCTTTCTTCCCTTGCTTTCCCTCATATACCTCCTTCCTTTCGTTTCTCATTCCTCCTTTTTCTTCTCATTCTTCCATTCCTTAGTACCTTCTTTCTTCCATTCTTTCCCTTTCTTTCTTTCCTCTTCTCATAACCTTCCCCCCCTTTTATTTCCTTCCTTCCCTCCTTTTTCACTTTTCTGTTTCTTTTCTGAYCCTTGATTTTGTCTTTCATTCTTTCCATCTTCCCTTTCCCTCCTAGTMCCCCTTCCTTCCTTCTCACCTTCCTTCCTTTCTCTTCTTTTCTTCCTTCCTTYTTCCTCTTTCTTTCCTTCCCTCCCTTTGTACCTTTTCCTTTTTTAATTCTTTCTTCCCTTTCTTCTTTATTTCTTTCTTTATTTATTTCTTATCTTCCTTCCCTTCATACCTTTCCCTGTTTCCTTTCTCTTCTTTCCTTCTTTCTTCCTTTTTCTCCCCCCCCTTTCCTTCTTTCTTTTCCTTCCTTCCCTTCTTTTTCTTTCTTCCTCTTTCCCTTCTTTTTCCCTTTCTTTCTTATTCTTTCCTCCCCTCCCTTCATACCATTCTCTTCCTTTCTCTTCCTACACTTTATTTTTCTTTCTTCCTTTTTCTCTTCTTTATTTCTTTCTCTATCCTTCCTCCCCTCCCTTCATCTTTTTCCCATTCTTTTCTCTTCCTTCCTTTCCTTCTTTTTCATTCTTCCCTTTCCCTTTCTTTTTTTCTTTCCTCCGCTACCTTCATCTTTTCCCCTTTCCTTCTTTTCTTCCATTTTTTTCTTTCTCCTCCCTCCTTTCTCTTCCTTTTTCTCGAAACCTTGCAATTGTTTTAAGCAGACCAATAGAGAATGTTTTTTTCCAAGTTTTGGTCCAAATCCTTCAAACCGTGCAGCTTGATGTTTATTTATATGAAGAATTGATAAAACTGCTCACTTGTATAAGCTGACGACTGTTATTTATATAAGTATAATTATTTAACACTTTCACTAATCAGAATAAATCCCATAGGCTTCAGTGAGGCCTAGTCACCAAGAAAGTATTATTATTATTATTATTATTATTATTAATTTGGAAGTGATAGATGGTGATAAATCCATTGATTTGTCAAGATATAAAGTGTATTTAATTGCTTTGTGTCAGTGTCGTGCAATAAATCCTCTCACTCCATGGACGTATTTTTTTATGAATGAATTACAATTTTAGGGCAACTGATGCTCCACATGTTAGTAGGATGAAGACTCCATCTCATGTTTCTGATGGTCTTAGGAACCCCTTTGGCAGAGAAGGCTGAAGATCTCTCCGCCTGTCCTTCTCTTCCATTTAGGAAAGAGAGGGCGAATCCTCCCATCAGAAGGCCTCCTCCACTGTGATTGTCTGGCCTCTCAATTGTAGGTGAACTATAATTTCCAGCAACTGCAACTCCCAAATGTCAAGGTCAATTTTCCCCAAACTCCACCAGTGTTCACAGTTGAGCATATTGAGTGTTTGTGCCACGTTTGGTCCAGATCCATCCTTGTTTGAGTCCACAGTGCTCTCTGGATGTAGGTAAACTATAACTCCTAAACTCAAGGTCAATACCCACCAAACCCAGTATTGTATGTTGGTCATGGGAGCTCTGAGTGCCATGTTTGGTTCAATTACATCATTGGTGGAGTTCAAGATGCTCTTTGAGTGTAGATGAACTATACATTCCAACAACTACAACTCCCAAATGACAAAATCAATCCCCTCAAACTCAAATGTGGGCACATCGGGTATTTGTGCCAAATGTGGCCCAGTGAATGAAAATACATCCTGCATATCAGATATTTACATTATGATTCATAACAGCAGCAAAATGACAGTTATGAAGTAGCAACGAAAATAATGTTATGGTGGAGGTCACCACAACATGAGGAACTGTATTAAGCGCAAATGCATTAATTATCCAATTATCCTCATCGCAAAAAAAACCAACACGTGATAAGAAAAAAAAACCATCTGAATTCAGCACAAAAATACCCCTGTGAGAATGATCTAAAATAATTTTTTATGAAAAATACTTGTTGGCTAGTGATTAATTAAAATATTTTGATATCAATGAGCAACTGCATTAATTATTTATTATTATTAATATCTAATTATGCGATTTGCCTCGTTGCGAAAACGACATGTGATAAAGAGAAAAAAAAACACAGATCTGAATTCAGTGCAAAAAAAACCCCAAACTCTATAAGAATGACTTAAAATAATATCTTGATGGCTTGTGTTAGGGCTTAAGTTTGCCCTGGGTGGTGAATCTGCCTTTCTTTCCTAGCCACGCCCCCTGGCTCTTAAACCACGCCCCTTTTTTGTGTTAGGGCTGAAGTTTAGTCTGCCTTTCCTTCCTAGCCACGCCCCTGGCTCTTAAGCCACGCCCCCTTTCAGGCGTGTGTTAGGGCTGGTTTGGTCTCTGCCTTTTTTTCCTGGCCACGTCCCCTTTCTGCCAGATGCCAACTCAGCCCTCCGCGCAGGCGCAGTGTCTCCTGACTCTAAAGGCGGCCCGGCGCAGGCGCGGGCTTGACGCCGCCACGCAGGGCGCCCCCTCCCTCTTCCGCGTGTGACGTCACGGCGCGGTGACGCAGCGGCTGTTGCCGGGGAACGCTCGCTGGGCCCTCCCTCCCTTCCTTCTCCTTCAGTCGGAGGGAAGGCAAGGAAGGCAAGGAAGGAGAAGGAGCCGGTTGCCCGCCCTTGAGGCCCGCCATGGTGCTCATCAAGGAATAGTGAGTCCCAAAGAGGGAAGAGGGTTGGCTTGTCTTCTGTGGGGTCACCCCCAAATGGGGCCCTTTTCCTGCGGCAGGGAGTTCCGCAGGGAGAGAGGAAGCGAAGGCCAGGCTGGGGAAACGGGGGAAGGAAGGAGGGAAGGGAGGAAGGAAAGAAAGAAGGCAGTGAAGGTCACTAACTGTCACCTCCCATCTAGGTGACCCTCTAGGCCAGGCCTGGGCCAATTTGGGCCCTCCAGATGTTTTGGACTACAACTCCCACAATTCCTCACAGCCTCGGGTCCTTAGGTCCAAAGCATCTGGAGGGCCCAAATTTGCCCAGGCCTGGCCTAGGCCCATCTCTCATTCCACTCTCTATGATTTCTCCATTTGTTTATATTTTTAGAGCTTGGACATAGGCCTCTCTGGCTGTTCACAGGCCCTGTAGGGCCCCAGCTCTTTCTCTCAAGGCGAGTGGACTACAACTCCCACCATCCTCGGGTCTCTGTGTGTCAAAAGCCAAAGGGAGATTGTTCCTTTCCATCCTTCTCTATCTACTTCATCTCCCATTCCTCTTCCCAAGCCCTGCTTCTCCTCTGCGCTTCCATATCATATTATATACCGAAAGGTTGGCGGTTTGAATCTGGGGAGCGGGGTAAGCTCCTGCTGTTAGTCCCAGCTCCTGCCAACCTAGCAGTTTGGGTCTCCCTCTTATGAATTCAACTGGTAATAATAATAATAATAATAATAATAATAATAATCGAAAGGGCACCAGGGATTCTCCCTCTATGGATTCAACTAGTAATAATGATAATAATAAGCTAAAGAGTGGTTTGAATTTGGGGAGTGGGATGATCTCCTGTTGTTAGACCCAGCTTCTGCCAACCTAGCAGTTTTGTTCTCCTTCTTATGGATTCAACTGGTAATAATAATCTAAAGGGCACTATGGCAGTTCGATTCCCCCTCTGTGGAGTCAACTGGTAATAATGGTAATAATGATTGTTATCTAAAGGGCTTCATGGATTCTTCCTGCCGAAGAGGTATCTATTGATCTCACATTTGTATGTTTTCGAACTGCTTGGTTAGCAGAAGCTGGGCCTAACAGTGGGAGCTCACCCTGCTCCCTGGATTTGAACCGCTGACTTTTTGGCCAGCAAGTTCAACAGCTCAGCGGTTTAACTCACTGCGCCACCAGGGCCCCCCTAATAATAATAATCTAAATGGTACTGTGGATTCTTCCTCTATAGATTCAACTGATAATAATAACCTAAAGAGTGGTTCATATTCGGGGAGTAGGGTGAGCTCTCACTGTTAGCCCCAGCTTCTGCCAACCTAGCAGTTTAATTCTCCCTCTATGGATTCAATTGGTAATCATGATGATAATAGTAATAATAAGCGTAGACTCCTAGAGTTGGAAGGGACCTCGTGGGCCATCCAGTCCAAACTCATTCTGCCAAGAAGCAGGAAAATCACATTAAAAGTACCCCTGCCAGATGGCCATTCAGCCTCTGCTTCAAAGCCTCCACCACACTCCAGGGCAGAGAGTTCCACTGCTGAACAGCTCTATCTCACAGTCAGGAAGTTCTTCCTCATGTTCAGGTGGAATCTCCTTTCCTGTAGTTTGAAGCCATTGTTCCATTGCGTCCTAGTCTCCATTGCAGCAGAAAACAAGCCTGCTTCCTTCTCCCTATGACTTCCCCTCACATGGCCCTCATCATGTCTCCTCTCAGCCTTCTCTTCTGCAGGCTAAACATGCCCAGCTCTTGAAACCGCTCCTCATAGGGCTTGTTCTCCAGAGTCTTGATCCTTTGAGTCGCCCTCTTCTGGACGCATTCCAGCTTAGAGTCAACATCTCCCTTCAGTTGCGGTGCCCAGAACTGGACAAAGTGTGATTCCAGGTGTGGTCTGACCAAGGAGGAAGAGAGGGGGAGCATGACTTCCCTGGATCTAGGCACTGGAATCCTATTTAATAATAATCTTAAGGGCACCACGGATTCTCCCTCTATGGTTTCAATTAGTAATAATAATCATAATACTGTAAAGAGAGGTTGAAATCTGGGGAGTGGGGCGAGCTCCTACTGTTCGGCTTAGCTTCTGCCAACCTAGCAGTTTGAAAACACGCAAATGTGAGTAGATCAGTAGGTACTGCTTCTGTAGGAAGGTAACGTCGATACATACAGTCATGCTGGTCACATGCCCTTGGAGGTGTCTATGGGCAACACTGGCTCTTCAGCGTAGACATGGAGATAACCACCATCCCCCAGAGTCGGATTTGACTAGACTTAATATCAAAGTGAAAGCTTTACCTTTACCTATTATATAATTCTAATAGTATAATGTACTGGTAGTGTATTATATATAAAGGCACCAAATAGTTGCCATATGTAAAGCCGCCTTGAGTCCCCTTTGGGGTAGAGAAAGGTGGGGTATAAATAAAATAAATAAATATTGTAGTATAATAATATAGTATAATATAATTATATATAATAATACACAACTTGTGGATTAAATATTACATTTATTACTACTGATATTACAGTATGTGTTCTTATTTTTGGTATAGATGTGGATTCGTTTTTGGGATTTTGTGGGGTTGACTGTTTTTGTCTTGGTTCAGCTTCTCATGGCACTGAAAGTTTTATTTATTTATCATTTGATACACAACAAGATTGGCACACAGCAAACAAGATCACTGTGCTGCTGTTGTATTGGATCCCACGTTGGAACCTTCCCAAGTGTTTCGGACTGTGTGATGTATTGGTGAATAATGCGTGCGGATTCGAGTAGTGTAGCCTTTTGCAGCTGACAGATGGTGATTTTGTCGGTGCCAGTTGTTGTTAAGTGCAGGCCGAGGTCTTGAGGCACTGCACCAAGTGTGCCAATCACCCCTGGGATCACCTTTACTGGTTTTTATTTATTTATTTATTATCTTAGTGGCGGCCCCTCGACTGTGGAACTCCCTCCCTAGGGATATTAGATCAGCCCCTTCCCTTCTGACCTTCCAGAATAACGCAAAAACATGGCTTTTTGAACAAGCCTTTGGGAACCTAGTGCAATAGATAAACACAGAACTATGCGAAATCGAATACTGGAACGGCTTAGACGATGTTTTTGGACGACGAGGCTAGGGGCTTTATATGTTTGTAAAGGTTTTAATGTATGCATTATTATAATTCTGTTTAAATGTTTATTGTAGTTTTTATGTTATTTTAATGGTATTGAATAACAGCGTATGTTGTAAAGCCACTTTGAGTCACCTTCGGGTTCGAGAAAGGCAGAGTAGAAATATCATAAATAAATAAATATTTATTGTTAGAAACACAACAAGATGAGTCCACAGTAGACAAGATCACTCTGCTGGCTGTTATATTGGATCACATGTCGGACCCTTCCCAAGTGTCTAGGATTGTGGGATGTATTGGCAAATAATGTGTGCAGATTTATTTTATTTTATTTATGACATTTATATGCCGCCCTTCTCACCCTGAAGGGGACTCAGAGTGGCTTACAAGGTATATATTACATACAATATATTATTATTATTATTATTATTATTATTATTATTATTATTATTATTATTTTAAACACAACAAGATGAGTCCACAGCAGACACTCTGATGGCTGTTGAATTGGATCACACGTCAGACACTTCCCAAGTGTCTAGGACTGTGTGATGTATCGGCGAATAATGCGTGCAGATCCCAGTAAGGTGGTCTTCTGCAGCTGGCAAATGGTAATTTTGTCAGCGCTGATTGTGTTTAAGTACAGGCCAAGGTCTTTAGGCACTGCACCCCGTGTGCCGATCACCACTGGGACCCCTTGACTGGCTTGTGCCAGAGTCTTTGCAGTTCGATCTTTAAATCCTCGTGTCAACTTTTCCAGTTGTTTCTCTTCAATCCTGCTGTCACCTGGGATTGCATATTATTATTATTATTATTATTATTATTATTATTCCCTTCTGAAGAGAGGCCTGGCTTTTCTGCCCTTCAGGTCCCTAGGCATTGGGTCCAGAGTCCCTCCGGCTGCCTTCTGCCCCTGATTTGGGACCTTTGGCCCCATGCTCTAGAGTGAAAGGAGCCAGAGGGAGTTCCCTGGGAGAGTTTTACCTGTTTGGCACCTTCTTGGCCTGTGACAAGTGCTTACATCAGGAAGGGGGCATTGCCTTGGCGGGTCTGTTTGGCTCCATCGCTTTGTATCAGGAGCCTCCCTGCATGTTGTTTCGTTCCAAAGGGCAAGTGTCTCCCACTAAGCAGGCTTCCCAGTGTCTCTGTGGGCAGTACTGAGCCCTTTTCCCTCTACATGCTCAGAGGCCTTGGCAAGGACACTGGAGTCGATGTGCTTAACTCCTCGCATGCGTCTCCTAACCTTAGTGTTGCTTCTTTAGCGTCTCTGTGACCTACGAGGGAAGCCGGTCCAGTACATGTTTTGGTTGCTCTGGGTCTGTTTTCCGATCACTGCGTTTCCTTGTGTGTGTCATCAGGACGGTTTCAACCGGCCAGCTTTGCCAGTGGGATTTCTCCTTCAAGCTGTTCTGATTGGTGCAATATCTGCACCAATCTTGTTCTCAGTCTCCTGGCTTTTCTCCTCTGCGTTTCTGTGCCAAGCTCTCCTTTCTCATTTGTGTGAGAGAGCAGCAGTTGCGGATCCTCTACGGTCCTTTGAAGGGAAGGGAGAGGAGATGCTCCAGGAAGTAGGCCAAGGGCACGGGGTCAGGGGGAGGTCAGGTGGGGAACCTGGCCCAGAAATAATAATAATAATTATTATTATTATTATTATTATTTGAAACACAACAAGATGAGTCCACAGCAGACAAGATCACTTTGCTGGCTGTTGTATTGGGTCACACGTCGGACCCTTCCCAAGTGTCTAGGACTGTGTGATGTATCGGAGAATAGTGTGTGCAGATTCCAGTAAGGTGGCCTTCTGCAGCTGGCAGATGGTAATTTTGTCAGCACTGATTGTGTTTAAGTGTAGGCCAAGGTCTTTAGGCACTGCACCCAGTGTGCCGATCTCCACTGGGACCACCTTGACTGGCTTGTGCCAGAGTCTTTGTAGTTTGATCTTTAAGTCCTCATGTCGTGTCAGCGTTTCCTGTTGTTTCTCTTCAATCCTGCTGTCACCTGGGATTACAACATCAACAATCCATACTTTGTTTTTTAACACGGTCGTGAGGTCAGGATTATTGTGCTCCAGAACTCTGTCTGAATTCAGAAGTCCCAGAGTAGCTTGATGTGTTCATTCTCTGTAATTTTTTCCGGCTTGTGATCCCACCAGTTCTTTGTCGCAGGCAGATGGTATTTGTGGCACAAGTTCCAATTAATCATCTGAGCAACGGTGTTGTGCCTCTGCTTGTAGTCTGTCTGTGTGATCTTCTTGCAGCAGCTGAGGATGTGATCTATTGTTTCATCTGCTTCCTTGCAGAGTCTACATTTGGGATCTCTCGTCAACTTTTCAACTCTGGCTTTGATGACATTGGTTCTAATGGCTTGATCTTGTTCTTGTTGTTATTATTATTATTCATTTATACCCCGATTTATCTCTCTCCCGCAGGAGACTCAAGGCGGCTTGTCATAAAAGGATTAGCATACAATTTATAATACAGTAGAGTCTCGCTTATCCAACCTTTGCTCATCCAACGTTCTGTATTATCCAACGCAATCTACCTCTTGCCCGGGTCCATGGCAGTTTCAATACATTGCGATGTTTTGGTGCTAAATTTGTAAATACAGCAATTAGTACATAACATTACTGTGTACTGAACTCACCTACTCTCCGGATTCAAACTGCCAACCTTTCGGTCAGCAAGTTCAGCATCTCAGCGGTTTAACCCGCTGTGCCACCGGGGGCTCTGATTTAAAATATACGAATATGTAAACCTTAAAATAGAATTAAATATACACTAATATGAAAACACACACATGTGGGAAGAGACCTTCTTTTGCTCAGAGACCCCATGGTTGGGCCCCTGTCATGATCTCTATCTCATGCCATCCAACTATCAGCCCTCCTGACACACAGCAAATGGTCATGGGCCGAAAGGGAAGACAGGACATATGAACCAACCATAAAAGTCAATTGCCCCAAGGTGGGGGTAAAAGTGGGTTCTGAAATGTAGAAAGGAGCTAACTCCAGGCGCGAGGACTCTTGAGTGGTTTATGATATTGTAGCTAGGCCTATATAGACCAGCAGTAGTGTGAGACTCTTGTATTCTGAACAATAAAGATGTTTGGTATCTTCAGCCTTTGTGCGTCTTGGCGTGTTTTTCCACAGCAACACCATTTGGAACTGAGAAACCTTAACAGCTCCAACTGATTTCCCCTTTTTTCTCTTCTCTTGCAGCCGAGTGCTTTTACCTGTTTCGGTGGAGGAGGTAAGTGTTTGTTCCTTCATTCCTGGGGCCTTCTTTGCCTCGAGCCCTGTTTAGAACCATACCCGTGGAGCCAGTTCCCTCTCCCATCCAGGAAGTGCAATAGTCCAAGGAACCAGTCTCTTTGGGCTTTGCTGGGAAGGGCCTAGGTTTGGCTCCCTTGTCCGCAGGTTGCTCCTGGTGCCCTGAATGGATTCCTGGCCACCAGTCTGGGCAAATACATACCAGCTCTGCCTTGTCCCTATGCTCCCAGGCCTCTGCCCTCAAGGTCATGGGCTTGCTTTGCAGCTTTCCCCCAACACCCTCTTAGCTGCCTTTCGCTCGCCTTCATTCTCACTTTCAATGGCAAGGAAGAAACTGCTGATGCAAGGAAAACAGTGCGATTGCTGCCAGCCCCTTCTCCATGTCTCTCCTACCAAAAAAAGCAGCTCCTTGTTTTCCTCATTTGGGGTAAACAATGCAGGTTCCTCTGTGCCTCCCTGTGTTTTTGCAGATGAATGAAAGAGGTTTTACACAAGGCTTGCTTTGCCCTTGCTACCTGTCTCTAGACTGACAAGGATGCATTGTAAGTATCCAGGCAGGGAGCCTCAAGCCTTTGCTTCCTTGCAAAGTTGGAGGTCCTTCTGAGGCTCCCCTCAAAGCATCCCTTTGGTCTGTGGCTTGGAGGGCATTTGTATATATATAATACTGATATTTTACTATGCTAATAATTTAATATATTTTATGTGTGTGTGTGTGTATATATATATATATGTGTGTGTGTGTGTGTGTTTGTGTATATATATATATATATAGCTGCTCTGAGTCCCTTTAGGGGTGAGAAGGGCGGTATATAAATGTCGTTAATAAATAAATAAATTTGTGTGCTCCAAAGCACACAAAACAGAGGTCTGCTTTTGCCCAGTTCCAATTAATTAGGCTGGTAAATATGGGGGCTTGCCCTGGATCACTTTGCAGCAGGCACAGGCAAACTTTCTATCTTGGGGGCCACATGGCGGGCCGGAATGGGGTGGCCAGGCCAGTAGGGAGGGAGGATGTTCTCCCCAAGCCCCCTCCCTGCCCTTTCCTTCCTTTTCTCTTTCGGAGGAAGAAAGTGAAGGAACGACAGGAAATGTTTGGATCCCAAAAGGGTTGACCTTGGTCAGGATGAGATGGTGGATGGGAGAGAAAAAGTGTATCCATGAGACCTCGTATTGTCTACTCCTGGTCTAGAATCCTAGAGCTGGAAGAGACCCCCAAGGGCCATCCAGTTCAACCCCCTGCCATGCAAGAAGGCACAATCAAAGCACTCCCAATAGACAGCCTCTGTGGAAAAGCCTCCAGAGAAGGAGATTCCACCCCACTTCCAGGCTGCCTATGCCACTCTGCAGGAAGTTCTTACTAATCTTTTCAGTTGAATCTCTTTCCCTGCCATTTGAACCAATTTCTTCCTTGTGCCCTGGTCTCTAGAGCAGCAGAAAATCATCCCTCCATGCCCCCCCCCCCCAAATCTTGAAACATGGTTCTCATGTTCCCCCTCGACCTTCTCGTCCCCCAGCTAAACATCTCCCAGGAGGAAAGGAGGAAGGAAAAAGAGAAGGAAGAGAGGGAGGAAGAGAAGGGTGGATGGAAGGAAGGAAGGGAATGGAGGGAGGGAAGGGAGAAGGAAGGAAAGACAAATAGGAAGGAAGGAAGGAGGGAAGGAAGGAAGGAGAGGGAAAAAGAGAGAGGGAAACAGGGAGGAAAGAGGGAAGGAAGGATGAAATGTTAGAAGAGAAGGGAGGGAAGGAAGGAGGAAGGAAAGAAGGAAGGAAGGGAGGAAGAGAAGGATGGAAGGAAGGGTTGATTGGAATGGAGGGAGGGAGGAAAGAGAAGAAAGGAAAGACAGGAAGGAAGGAAGGAAGGAAGGAAGGAAGGAAGGAAGGAAGGAAGGAGAAAAAGAGAGGAAAAGAGGGAGGAAAGAGGGAAGGAAGGAAAGATGAAAGGGAGGGAGGGAGAAAGAGAAAGGGAGGAAGGAAAGAAAGAGAGAGGGAAGGATAGAATGGCGAGAGAGAGGAAGGCCTGAGAAAAGAGGCCAAGGGATCACATTCGGCCCCCAGCCCTGGCTTTGCCCATACCTGCCTTGCAGGCTCCAACTCTGAGAGAGTGCCAATTGTGCCCACGGCTTCCTCAGCCTCAGGTGGGACTGATCCACAGGGGAACTCCTGGGTCCCCACTTGGTCCAATGGAGCGTAAGGGTGATGGGCCGGGCAGTTTGTGTGGTTGGCTTGGTGTTGCCAGGAACCAAAGCCTGGGGACAGTGAAGGGAGAGTGTTTTCTATGCAGGCCATTAGGCTGGATTTCTGTGCTGGGAGCATGAAGGGCCACCTCCCCAGTCCGCTTTAGGGTCATGTGCCCCCTGCTCCATGCCACTCCTTCCTCCCTGGGATTGGAGTCCTTTGGCACTTTCTCTAGAGGATTTCCCCCACCCCTTGGGATCCGCTCTTATTTAACGCACCCGTTTCCGAGGCCTGCCTTCCTCCTCCTTCCAATAGGATTAGGGGATCAGGCATAACAGAGGAGATTAAGGGGTGAAGGTGGCAGTCCCACAGCCTGATCCTCTTAGTGCTTCAGCTCCAACTTGTGAAGCAAGGGAGGAGGACGAGGAGGAGAGAGTGAATGGGCAGTGCGTCAGTGTTGGCGGCACATTCGCCTGTGTCCCCAGGAGACCCCATCACCCGCCCAAAGCCTCTCAGTCTGGCTGGCACTTTCCCTTTCCTGATGCTCAGGGAAGTGAGAGTAGGCAGCAGCGTCCTGGTGCCCAGAAGGACAGGACACTGGGCTGGCCCTCAGGCTTGTAGGCCTCTTTGGGTGCCCAGTGCTCACTGGGCAGGGGCCTTGATCTGTTTCCTCCATTGGGATGGGGTCATGTGAAGACCTGAGTTCAAGATGTACGAGGGTTATCTGGAAAATAAGGTTCAAGTCATGTAGCTCTCACGGGAAGATGGTATCACTGCCATGTAGTGGAAAGCCAGCAGAAGCAAATGAGCTGTGCCAGTCGTCAGTAGCTCATCGACTGGCGTTGTGGTGAAGGTTAGAGATGAACGTCCTCATTCTGTTTCCCTCCAAGTGTGAAGTTTGCACTGTGCGAGGGATATCCAGAAAGTAAGGTTATAAGGCGCATAGCTCTCGCGGGGAATTTTTGTGGAGGAAGTTGGTATCACTGCCATGTAGCAAGAAGCCAGTGGAAGTGAACGAACAGTGCCAGTTGTCGGTAGCTCATCGACTGGCATTGTGGTGATGGATAGAGATGAGTGTCCTCATTCCATTTCCCTCCAAGTACGAACTTCGTGCTGTATGAGGGATATCCAGAAAGTAAGGTTACAAAGCGCGTTGCTCTCGTGGGGAATTTTCGTGGGGGAACTTGGTATCACTGCTGTGTAGTGGGAAGGCAGCAGAAGCCAGTGAGCAGTGCCAGTCATCAGTAGCTCATCGACTGGTGTTGTGATGAAGGTTAGAGATGAGCGTCCTCATTCTATTTCCCTCCAAATGCGAAGTTTCCTTACTTTCCAAATATCCCTCGTACATCGTGAACTTCGTACTTGGAGGGAAATGTAATGGGATGCTCATGAACATTCACCAGTCGATGAGCTACTGACGACTGGCACAGCTCATTAACTTCTGCTAGCAGCCTGCTACACAGCAGTGATACCAACTACCCCCCTAAAAACATCCCCATGAGGGCTATGTACCTTGTAACCTTATTTTCTGGATAACCCCCCATGAGGAGCAATCCTGGGGCCCTCACTATCATGTTGCCTGGCCTTCAGCCCCAGGGCTCCCAGCAATGAGAAGTTACTGCAGAACAGGGCAAACACTGCTCTCTGTCTGTCTGATGTTCCTTGGATTCCCTGTTAAATGCCTGGAAAGGAAAGAAGTGTCTCGGGGACATGTTTTCCAAGCTGAGAAGATGGAAGGACAGTGGGGCAGCTGACCATTAAGCATCTTGTGGAGTGGGTGTCCTTTCTGGCTCCCTCGTGGCCCTGGTGTGATGCACTCCCTCTTCCTTCTCTTCTAGTACCAGGTGGGGCAGCTCTACTCGGTGGCGGAGGCCAGCAAGAATGAAACTGGTGGCGGCGAAGGGGTGGAGGTGCTTGTCAACGAGCCTTACGAGCGTGATGGGGAGCGGGGCCAGTACACCCACAAGATTTATCACCTGCAAAGGTGGGTCATCAAGGGTCCCATGGAGCGGACAGAAGCTTTGCTTTATTGGGGGAGGGGGGGTGGAGGCCTCTTCTTGCAGAAGTAGGCCAGCCTTTCCCTGCATGCATGCATGCCTAATCCCTGGTGTCCTTGTGCCCATGATTGAGAGGGGAACACTGGACACAACACACGCACTCACTCTTGCCAGCTGTTGAGGCTCAGCCCTCTGGAGCACAGGGAGCTCTCTCTTTCTCTCGCTTGTCCTCTGCACACATTCCCCTCTTTTGGACTTTGTCGCATGATGGGCATTACCAACACTTGTTTTTGTTTCCCCTTCTTCACTGCAGTAAAGTCCCTCCCTTTGTGAAAATGCTGGCCCCAGAGGGAGCCCTCAACATCCACGAGAAAGCCTGGAACGCCTACCCATACTGTCGAACAGGTGCGTTTGGGGGGCAGAGTTGCAATATTTCATCACATAATAGTCACCACCGCATAATAGTCGCACACCATCTTTTGGGATGCCAAAAATTGTATTTTTGTTTTCCTCGATAGTAGTTGCAGCCTCTATTTGGGGCTGATTCTCCCTTCCTTCTCCAAAGGCCTGAAAACAGTTTAAAACTACCAAACGGAGGTCTTTGGAGCTCTATTATTCTCTCTTTTCTCAAAGGCCTTAAGGTGGTTAACAGACTAGTGCACAGTATTTGTTTTGTTCAGGTATTCATTTCGTCCCATCCATTCGGAAGGCACAAAACAAAAGATCCATTTTCAGAAGAAACTAAAGACGAAACGAAAGAGAAAGTTGCATAGTGGGATCTTAAGCTGTGTCTTTAAGTTTGGTGGTCCGAAAATTTTTGTTCATTCGGATGAAAGAACAAAACAGTTCATTTGGACAGGCCCCCGTTTTCGGAAGGTGCACTCGAAAACGAAAACGGGGTCATACAAATGAAACAGACAAAAACAGATAGTGATTCTATACAAATGCACAAGACTAGTAGTTAACATAACCTGAAAGGGAGTTCTCTGGAACTCAGATTTTCCCATTTTCATCCAGAGAACTCCAATCCAAGTTTTGTAAACTGCCTTAAGGTCTTCAGAGAAAAAAAGCAAGGAAGGGGAAATCAGCCTGAAAATGGAAGTGCAGCAATTATGCAAGGAAAACTTCCTGACTGTGAGAGCTGTTCAACAGTGGAACTCTCTGCCCCGGAGTGTGGTGGAAGCTCCTTCTTTGGATGCCTTTAAACAGAGGCTTGATGGTCATCTGTTGGGGGTGCTCTGAATGCAATTTTCCTGCTTCTTTGCAAGGGGTTGGACTGGATGGCCGAGGAGGTCTCTTCCAACTCTGTGATTCTATGATTCTAAAACACAAATACCAATGGGCAGCCTGAGGCACCTTAGCTGTGTGGCCTCCATCTTGGCCCGGAGCCCTGGCTYGCGCCTGGCTTATCGCATTAGTGCTCAACCGGTGCCAGAGATRCGGCTGCAGGACAGGCACTCTTGCAGCTGGCCTCTGCCTGCGGCCACCTGCTCTCCTCTCTATTTCTCAAGGCAGATGTTTTTTATGGGGGGGGGGGGTGTATCCTGTCCTATTTGCAATGCTTTCCTTTGGGGGGGGGGGTTGCATCCCCTTCTTTCTCACTCTCCTTGAGGCCTTGGCTTTTGCTCGGTTTTGGCTTCTTGCTTTTGGAATGGAAAGCATGAAAGGGCCGTCTGGCCTGGTCCTTCTGGCTGTCACAGAATCTGCCGTGGCTTTGTGTCACTTTGCTAATGAATAATTGAGCCCCACAAGGATCAGGAGACTCTGGTTACTGCCAGCAGTCTGCCCAGTGAGCCTCCCAGCTCCAGTTACCGGCACTCATCCAACTGGATCTCGAGGGCCAAGGGTAACGGGGCAGAACGCTGGGTCTGTGCCTTTTGTAGCCTATGCCGTGGAATAGGTGCTTAGGGCATTACCTGCATGCCAGCAGGACTGGGTTCTCCTAGGCCAGCGTTTCTCAACCTAGGGGCCGCGACCCCTGGGGGTTGTGAGGGGGTGTCATAGGGGTTGCAGAGACCATCAGAAAACACACATTTCTGATGGTCTTAGGAACCCCTTTGGCAGAGAAGGCTAAAGATCTCTCTGCCTGTCCTTCTCTTCCTTTTTGGACACAGAGGGTGAATCCTCCCACCCAAAGCCCTCCTCAACTGTGATTGGTTGGCCACTCAGCAAAGGGGAGAGCTCTTTCTGAGACTCCAAGCAGGGGAGGGGAGAGCAGGCGTGCTTGGCGCATAGCAGCGGGGTGTGCATGTTCAGGTGAGGGAGAGCATGTGAGGCTGAAGGGATGCTCACACCAGCGAGTCCCTTCAAGACATGGTGGTCTCTGTGTGGGAAATTTGGCCCAATTCTATTGTCTTTGGGGTTCAGAATGCTCTTTGATTGTAGGTGGACTGTAATTCCCATCAACTACAACTCCCAAATGTCAAGGTCTATTTTCCCCAAATGCCACCAGTGTTCACATTTGGGCATATTGAGGGTTCGTGCCAAGTTTGTTCCAGATCCATCATTGTTTGAGTACACAGTGCTCTCTGGATGTAGGTGAACTACAACTCCCAAACTCAAGGCCAATGCCCATCAAACCCTTCCAGTATTTTCTGGTGGTCACAAGAGTTCTGTGTGCCGAGTTTGGTTCAATTCCATCGTTTGTGGAATTTAGAATGTTCTTTGATTGTAGGTGGACTATAAATCTTAGAAACTACAACTCCCAAATGTCAAGGTCTATTTCCCCCAAGCGCCATGAGTGTTCACATTTGGGCATATTGAGGATTTGTGCCAAGTTTGGTCCAGATCCATCATTGTTTGAGTCCAGAGTGCTCTCTGGATGTAGGTGAACTACAACTCCCAAACTCAAGGCCAATGCCCACCAAACCCAGTATTTTCTGTTGGTTACAGGAGTTCTGTGTGCCAAGTTTGGTTCAGTTCCATCGTTGGTGGAATTTAGAATGCTCTTTGATTGTAGGTGAACTATAAATCCCAGCAACTACAACTTAATGACAAAATCAATCCCCCCGCAACCCTACCATTATTCAAATTGTGCCAAATGTAGTCCAGCGAATGAAAATACATCCTACATATCAGATATTTACATAATGATTCATAACAGTAGCATAACAGTTATGGACTAGCAACAAAAATAATGTTATAGTTGGGGGTCACCACAACATGAGGAACTGTATTAAGGAGTATTAGGAAGGTTGAGAACCACTGTCATAGGCAGCGGCCCTATGGCTCTGCGTGGAATTTCACCCTTCTCTGAGTGACAGGAGAACTGGAGGAGGCTCCACTTGTGGGTCCGGGGGAGTTTCCAGGCATATCACTCTTGCTTCCCCCCCCCCTCCACTGCTCTAAGACCCTGCTTTTTGGGTTGGAAGCTGGAGCTCTGAGAGCATCTGACATTTTATATAGAAAGGGATGGAGGTTGCTAGAAATCTCTGGATGCTGTGCACTCACTGATGTTCTCTTTTTTTTTACATGCCATTTCTTATTGGAGCAGTTATCACAGTAAGTATGGCTTTTAGCCCATGCTTGGAAGAGTGTCTGCCTCTGTGTTGTGGGAGGAGGTAGAAGGGGGAGGTGGTCCCGGTCCCCTTAGAAGCCAAACCTGTACCCATGGCTCCAGTTAAGAGCGGGGTTTGTTCTCCATGCTGGCTCTATAAGAAGGTCCTCCATTGTGCATGTGGCAGGGCTCAGGCTGCATTGTAATAGGTGGCTTGTGGTTTGCTCTCCTCCACACTCGCAAGAATTGTGGCCACATTTCTTAAGGTTGGCTCTGCATCTCGTGGTGCCAGAGAGCAGCCTGTTTAGCACCTTCCAAGTCAGCCAGCCTTCTGTGTCCCCAAGGGGGAGTCTCTCATTCGGTATCAGCCATGGTTTGAAGTTCTGGGTTTTTGGCCTGCCATTTTTGGACTTTTGCTTGCTGAGGTGTTCCTGGGAATATCTCTGTAGAACTTAGAAAACTATTTCTTGATTTAAGGCGTTGTCATGCTGGCTGATATCCAAACGGGATGGGCCAGAGAGGTCTTTTCATTACAGGCTGCTATTTCCTGATGGATGTCAGGTGGTGCAATACCAGCTAATCAGTATAATTTCTCCAGTGGTTTAGGGTGTAGACATCCTGTGATAATTCGGCATGTCTCATTAAGAGTCACATCCATTGTTTTAACGTGGTGAGATGTGTTCCACACTCAGCACCAGAGTAGCCAAGCGCAAGGGCAGATGTCTTCACTGTATCTGGTTGTGATCCTCAGGTTGTGCCAGTCAGCTTTCATATGATATTATTTCTAGCACCCACTTTTTGCTTGATAGTCAAACAGTGCTTTTTGTAGGTCAGAGCACAGTCCAGGGCAACTCCCAGGTATTTGGGTGTGTTGCAATGCTCCAGTGGAATAGTGCTGCATGAATCACCAGCTGACTGATCATCTTCTCTTCCTTACAGAATGAATACATGAAAGATGACTTTTTGATCAAAATTGAAACCTGGCACAAACCAGACCTCGGGATGCAGGAGAATGTAAGCACGCTTGATAGGGGTGGGCTGTGGTCTTTGCAGGGGTCTCAGAGCTGCTCTTTTACAAACACAAGCCACTTGCTTTCTATATCTTAGTGGCTCTTTAGAAAGGTTGGTTAGGTGAGTGGGCTTAAGAACAAAAGACCCTCCCCATAAATGTTCAGCAGAGTAACTTATCAGCAGCAGCATGACTCAGCACCAGTAGCCTAAGTGATAAAATGAACAAAAACACAGAGACTAATGTCATCTCTTCCATAGGAGGCTTTTCTTTGTAGTAAAATAATATGGTTACACTATTTACAAGAACAAGGGAAACAGCTTTGCTCTCACAGAGCCTCTTCTCACACTAAACTTACACAGGAGCTTTGTACAGTAGCCTGTTACACACAGCAGCCTTCACACTGGAACTTTACATACAAGGAACTTTACACACAATCTGGGGCTTCTCACACCAGGCCTCTCATAAACTGAGGCCTACTAACTCTGAGGCCTACTTAACACTGAGGTTTATCTCACACTGAAGCTTCTCTCAGACTGAAGTGTCTTCATACTGAGGGCAACTAACTCTGAGGCGTACTGAGCTACAGTACGCTTCCATGCTTGGCTTCTTTCTTATGCAGATAAACAGCTTCACTCTCACAGAGCTTCCTCACACCGAAATTACACAGGACCTTCACATAGTAGCTTTACACACAGCTTTACGCACAAGGCCTTTAACCTGGGGCTTCTTACACCAAAGCTTTTCACACAGAGAGGTTTAGCTCACACTCCTCAGGACAACACTAGCTTTGTCCCACTAACTCTTAACAGGCTTTGGCCTACTCACTCTCCTCAGGATGATACTAGCTTTGGCCCACTGACTCTTAACAGGCTTCGGCCTACTCACTCTTTCAATGCTTGGCTCACATTTTTGTAATTTAAAATACCTAGTTAATTTTTAATATTTCTGACAAGGTCCACACTTTTTCCTTGTTCTCCTGCACAGGTGCATAAGCTTGAGCCCAACGAATGGAAGAACGTAGAAGCCATCTATATCGACATTGCAGACCGGAACCAAGTGCTTTCGAAGGTAAGGCCCAAGAGTGGAGGGCTCCTCTTTGGATGGTGGCCAACTGAGATATGTGGAGAGGTTTGGCTGGAGGCCAGTGAGGGAGAAGAACGTGGTGCATTGCTTTCTGGAAGAAAACAGTGCTCTCCCTGGTGGCTGTTCTCAGCAGAACAACTAGGCCCTGGACACAGGCACAAATAGCCTCCTGGGATGCATTGGCCAGTGGTGAGGAACAAAAACACACAGACCAATGTTATCTTTACCATAGGAGGCTTTTCTCTGTGGTAAAATAATATGGTGGAACTCTTTACAAGAACAAGGTTTCCATAACACAGATAAACAAATACATAGTAGCTTTACACGCAGCAGCCTTCATACTGGAGCTTTTTTACACGCGGCTTCTCTCACACAGTGGTTTACCTCACACTCCTCAGAACAACACTATCTTTGGCCCACTAACTCTTTCAGTGCTTGACTCACATTCACATAATTATATGGTTGCACTACTTACAAGAACGATGTTTCTATAACACAAATAAATACATAATAGCTTTACACGCAGCAGCCTTCATACTGGAGCTTTTTTACACAAGGCTTCTCTCACACAAAGGTTTACCTCACACTCCTCAGAACGACACTAGCTTTGGACCAGTGACACTAACAGGCTTCAGCCTACTCACTCTTTCAGTGCTTGATTCACACTATTGTAATAAAAAATACCCAGTTAATTTTGAATATTTCTAACAGGTGGATCTGGCCCACTGCTTTTTGCCACTTATTGGTGGAGGCTGAATGAGGGCTTGCCTCATTGGTAAACTGACTGGGGGCTGTGTGCATCTGTGCAGAGACCTTGGAGAGACCTTGGAGGGAGCCCCAGGTGCCTTGCGGGGCCCTGGCGTTCAATCCCAAGCAGGCCTCTTCCTCCTCTTGCCCAGCTTTGAGCCAGGCCTGTGTTGGGCTGCCAGAGGACAAATAACGGCGCATGACTGCTGTGAGTGTGTGCCATTTCCCTTCCTGGAGCTTCCCTTTGTGTTTTGTGTGCTGCAGGATTACAAGCCGGATGAAGACCCCGCCAAGTTTAAATCGGTCAAGACGGGACGTGGCCCCTTAGGACCCAACTGGAAGGTGCGGGCCCTGCTGCTCCTGGTTTACAGTGCATGGGATTTTGGGTTGGCAGAACGGCTGAGATGAGGTTTCAGTAGGCTGGGGTTGGCACCCGTTGGGCTGCAATTGTCCGGGCCCACATTTGGAGGGTGAAAAGCAGGAGCCCCGGAGGCAGTCAGTGTCTCCCTTCTGACGGAGCACTTCTTCCCTCTGCAGAAGGAGCTGGGCAAGCAATCCAACTGCCCTTACATGTGCGCCTACAAGCTGGTGACGGTCAAGTTCAAGTGGTGGGGATTGCAGAACAAAGTGGAAAATTTCATCCATAAGGTGAGGAAAGCAGAGTCGTCGGATTCAGCAAATGAAGGGACAAAATCCAGACCTTGCTTGGCAGCATGAGTTGCCTGGATCTGCCATCCTCTGCTTTCTGGAATTTCTGAACCACCGCCGATGCTTCTTCTTCTTTTGCAGCAAGAGAAGCGCCTTTTCACAAACTTCCACCGGCAGCTCTTCTGCTGGCTGGATAAATGGGTGGAGCTGACGATGGAGGACATTCGCAGGATGGAGGATGAGACAAAGAGGCAGCTGGACGAGGTGAGGCTTGAGAGGGCAGTGACTCAGTTTCCCCGCTCCTAATATGTCAACGACTCATCCACTTTGCTGGGTCAGTGCATGAAGCAGGGTCAGAGGGAGTTGCTGGGTGCCTTTTGCTTCCAGAGCTGCGAGCTAGTTGCCAAGTGCTATGCTAACAATATAATATAATATAATATAATATAATATAATATAATATAATATAATATATTGTATATACATATAATATTTATAATATTATAATGTAATACAATATAATACTACTAATAATAATATATTATTATATATTTTATATTGATGTAATATTACTAATAATATTACAATATAATGGAGACGAGAGACAGGGCCTTCTTGGTGGTGGCCCCTCAGCTGTGGAAAGCCCTCCCTATAGATATTAGATTGGCCACCTTCCTTTTTAACATTCTGGGAAAAAGTCAAGACGTGGCTTTTTGAACAAACGTTTGCAAATGCAGAGTAACTGACATAGGAAAATGAGGTCCTCAAACTTTTTAAACAGAGGGTCAGATCACAGTCCCTCAAACTGTTGGAGGGCTGGATTATAATTTGAAGAAAACATAATTTGAATTCCTATGCACACCTCACATATCTTATTTGTAGTGCAAAAAAGCACAATAATTAAAATGAAGAAGAATTTTAACAAATATAAACTTTTTAGTATTTCAATGGGAAATCAGCGTTTGGCTGATGAGATAGGATTGTTGTTGTTGTTGTGTGCTTTCAAGTCATTTCAGATTTAGATTGACCCTGAATGAGGGCCGAGTAAATGATCTTGGAGGGCCATATCCGGCCCCCGGGCCTTAGTTTGAGGACCCCTGGACTAGACAATGAGTCCAGACAGCGTTTTAACAAGGAGACACTATGAATTTATATTTTATTGATTTGTTTAGTTTTTATTATATGTTATGTTTTTAATTGTATTTATGACATTGTAAGCATTGAATTTTGCCCTCCTAACCGCCTTGAGTCGCCTATGGGCTGAGAAGGGTGGTATACAAATACAGCAAATAAATAAATAAATAAATAAAACAATATAGTAATATATAATACTGATATTGTACTATGCTAATAATATAATATATATGTTATGTATTTATATCTTGTAAGCTACTCTAAGTCCCCTTTGGGGTGAGAAGGGCAGCATATAAATGTTGTAAATAAATAAATAAGACCATAACTTGCCTTTTCTCTGTTGCAGATGAGAGAAAAGGATCCCTTGAAAGGAACGTCGGCTGCGGATGACTAGCGCAGACTCCTCTTGTTGCATGGTAGGTGCCTTAGTGTCGTACACCAGAGCAGGAACACCCCTGATCTTAAACACCACACCAGCTTGGTAAAATCAGCAAGCAGTTTGTTGTACAATATATGTAGGCAAAGCATTAAAAATTGCAAAACAGTAAAGGTTCAAAATCCAAAATAGTCCATTGGCTTTGAAGGGAAACAAAATCAATGAATATATAGAAATCCATGAAACTAGGCACTTGAAACCTTGAAACAAAACAGCAGGAAAATCCCATAGGCAAAACATGGGACTTGGGGGGGTGAATAGACCTTGACATTTGGGAGTTGTAGTTGCTGGGATTTATAGTTCACTTACAATCAAAGAGCATTCTGAATTCCACCAACAATGGAATTGAACCAAACCTGTCACACAGAACTCCCAAGACCAACAGAAAACATAAAATACTGGAAGTTTTTGGTGGGCATTGACCTTGAGTTTTGGAGTTGTATTTCACCTACATCCAGAGAGCACTGGGGACTCAAACAATGATGGATCTGGACCAAACTTGGCACGAATTCTCAATATGCCCAAATGTGAACACTGGTGGAGTTTGGGGGAAAATAGACTTGATATTTGAGAGTTTTAGTTGCTGGGATTGATAGTTCACCTACAATCAAAGAGCATTCTGAATTCCACCAACGATGGAGTTGAACCAAACTTGGAACACAATACTCCCAAGACCAATAGAAAATCCTGGAAGTTTTGGAGTTGAGTGTTGGAGTTGTAGTTCACCTAAATCCAGTTTTGTAGTTGTAGTTCACCTAAATCCAGAGAGCATAGGAGAATCAAACAATGATGGATTTGGACCAAACTTGGCACGAATACTCAATATGTCCAAGTTTGAACACTGTTGGAGTTTGGGGGAAATAGACCTTGACATTTGGGAGTCGTGGTTGTTGGGATTTATAGTTCACCTCCAATGACAGAATTGGGCCAAACTTCCTATATCGAACCCCCATGACCAACAGAAAATAGTGTGTTTACTGATGGTCTTTGGCAACCCCTCTGACACCTCCAGGGGTCCTGATCCCCAGGTTGAGAAACACTTCTGTACTGTATATTGACATTTGTTTTTCATTCATTTTCTCTCCCGCCTCTTTAGATTGCAGAAGCGCCAGCAGGAAGGCCCGGACTCTCCAACCTCTTGACCAACGGTCCGTCTCTGGATCTCAAGCCCTCTTCTCTCCAGTCGGCAGAGTCGACTCCGGCCTCCCTTTAGCTAACTCTAGTTGCCCTTAAATCTCCGTGAGCAAACCGGCCGTCCTGGGCCCTGAGTGCGGTGGGCCTTGGCTCCTGGGAAAGGAGGATGAGAAAAGGGGGCCCACGGGGGGGAATGGCTGCCACCGCCTCTCAAGAGCGCCTCGCCTGATCCCTGCGGGGCACTCTTTGAGTTTCTGTCGTGATGTGGTGATTTAGGTTTCATTATCTGTGTATATATATATATATATTTTCCCCCTTCCTTTGGGATAAACTTGCTGCCTTTGTTTCCTTCCCGTCCTTCACCTTTTCGTTTTTCTTCTGCGGAGAGAGAGTGGGATTCAGTATCAGGGGACCAGGCCTCCCGTTTTACTCCTTCGGTATCAGCAATGGAGGGGGGCCGCTCTTGCTGCTAACAGGGTTTTTGGACACACTCTGCCCCTCACCATTGCTGCTGTGTCGTTGCTTGGGTCAGGGGCTCCGGTGTTGAGTGGGCAGCCTCTTTGAAAGGTTCTGGGCACCCAACTCCTTCTGGAGGGGCCAGAAGGGTCTCCTTTCCCTTGAAGACCACAGAATGGCATAGACACCTCTTCCATCTTGCTCTGAGTCATAACACTCATAAGAAGAGGGGGAGCATTGGTCTTGATGCTCTTGTCACCGTCTTAAGATAATCCCACGAGCAGGATGGGACCGATGTGACTCCGTTGCTGCTGGGCCTTGACGACGGCCACAAACCGTCCCCAGAAGCAACAACTTCTTTCCCCTCCTCATGGAGAGTGTTGCCCCACTGACTGCTGGGAGATGGAAGAATTGGGGAGGCTTTGCTCAGGGAAGATGGGAGGCTCTCTGGCCCTCTTGCTGCGTGCGTTCCTTTGCCTTACGAGGCCCAAGTGCAATAAGCAAACTTCATTTCTGGTGGACTGCGAGAAACAGGGCTTCCTTTTCCTTTGAAGGGGAAAACTGGGTATTCAGCCCTTGGGAAAGGAGTTGGGGCCAGGAATGCACTAAGACCCCCTTAATGCCTCCTCTCCCTTTGGCTAATCCCAGATACTGTCACGAGCCGGGCATTGGCATTAACGTGCCGAACATATTTTTCCCCCCTTTATGGGTCATGACACGTAAGAGGATTCTTCCGACTTGAATGTGTTATTGTTTCCGTGGCTGTTCTTGCATCGCTCCCACTTGAGAGTTTTGAGCCGATGAGAAGGCTTTTCTAGCCAGCCCAGCCATACATCTCTATGGAAACGGGAGGTTGACATTTCGGAAAAAGAGAGACTCAGGAAAGATTGGAGACGGAGGGGAAAGCGCCGACTTAAAAACACAAAGCTTTCCTGCTTAGCGGTGAGAAAAGACGCAGACGCCCTCCCTCCAGACTATACGCCTTTTGTTCTCACTTAAGTTCTCTCCAAAGTACCCCAAAAAGAGCCTCTCTGACCTTGATTTGGAGCCCCTTTCTGGCAGCCTTCTCTCCCCTCCGCCTAATATTCTGCTTCTCTGCCCTCCTCCCCTCCGACCGGTTTGGATTGGTTTCCTTGTGCTGTTTTTTTCTTTCTATGGCACCCCGACTTTGTAGACTTGAATTAGACGATTCCTTGTTTTCTTTCATGTGAGTTTGTGCCTTTTTTTTGTCTCCCAATCTTCTTCCGATACAGGCCTATTGGAAGCAAATCTAATAAAATCATAGATGAGAGCCTCTCAGAGTCTCTGCTTGGTTCTTATGATGGCAAGGAAGGGAGGGAGGGTGAACCGTTCAACAGTAGAACTCACTGCCTCAGGAGTCTGGTGGATTTATTTTATTTATTTACCATATTTATATACCACCTTTCTCAGCCTGAAGGCGACTCAAGGCAGTTTACAGTCAGCATTCAATCCCCCTACAACATAAAATATAATTAAAAATATTAACATATAATATAGGCCATATAAAAACAGTAGAATCAATAAAAACAATAATGAACTGTTCAGCAGTGGAACTCACTTCCCCAGGAGTCTGGTGGAAGTTCCTCCTTTGGAGGCTTTTAAGCAGATGGCAATCTGTCGACAGGGATCAAGGTGGTGTCTTTCTTTACAGCAGAAGGGTTGGACTGGATAGACTTGAGTCATTTCCAACTTTATTCAATGAATGGAGAAAGAGGATGGGGAATGGTGCTCTCTCTACCAGAGAAAAGCACCATCAGTCCCTGCGAAAGTGGGGCTCCCCTTTTGCTAGGTGTTTATAAAGCCTCCCCTAGGCATAATAATTGGGCCTCCTGGTGGGGCAGTGGATTAAAATGCTGAGGTGCAGAACTTGCTGACCAAAAGCTTGGCAGTTTGAATCCGGGGAGTAGGGTGAGCTCCCACTATTAGCCTCAGCTTCTGCCAACCTTGCAGTTTGAAAACATACAAATGTGAGTAGATAATAGGTACTGCTTCTGTGGGAAGGTAACAGCGTTCCATGCAGCATGCCAGAAATTGAGATGAGCACCACACCTCAGAGTTAGACATGACTAGACTTCATGTCAACGGGAAACCTTTACCTTTACCTAGGCATAATAATAATAATTATTTATTTATTTATTTATTTATTTATTTTCCACCCTCTCTCCCCAATAGGGACTCAGGGCAGTTCACAGCATACAGCGGCAAACATTGAATGCAACGGAATGAGCGCAAACCACTCCTTACTGCAAACCTCTCCTTATTTTTAATTGCTTTTTTTAGTTGTATAATGCGTTGTTTGTTTATGTACATCTTTAATGTTTGGCTACTTCTTGGTTGTCATAAGTTCTATTGATTGATTGTGATGTGATTTCCTGCTTCATTTTTTGGCATTGAACGTTTGCCATTTCTGTTGAAAACTGCCCCAAGTCCCCTGGGGTGATAGGGTGGGTTCCAAATAAAGCTTATCATTGTATTGTCAAAGGCAAAAAACGGGAATTTCAGACAAGAAAATCAGACAAGCTAATCACTTCCCAACAAAGGATTCCCCCATGCAGTAAGAAACCAGACCTTGAAACTGCTAGGCCATTAAATGCTAATCACGGTGGCCAACTGAAACATTCACACCTACCTCCAACAGACAAGAGTTCTTTCTCCTACTCTGGACATTCCACACAAAAAAACCAATCAGGACCAGCTAATCAGCTCCCAACAAAGGATTACCCCAGTCAGGAATCAGCAAGGATTTGAAGGTGATTAATTGCAACATTCACACTTACCTCCAACAGACAAGAGTTCTTACTCCCACCCTGGACATTATTCCACAGATATATAAGCCTCACTTGTCCTAGTTTCCAACAGACCTCACAACCTCTGAGGATGCCTGCCATAGATGCAGGCGAAACGTCAGGAGAGAATGCTTCTGGAGAATGGCCATACTGCCCGGAAAACTCACAAAACCCAAAGATGATGACGATGATGATTATTAATTGTATTATTTATTTATTATTTATTTAATAATATATTTTTATCAAAGGTTATTATTTTATTTTATTGTTTATTATTATGATTTACTTAATAATATATATTTAATTATTATCCTCAAAGTTTATTAGTATTTTGTTATTTATTACAATTTATTTAATAATATATTTTTATTATTATAATTATTATCAAAGTTTGTAATTGTTATCTAATAATATATTTATCCTAAAAGTTCATTATTATTGTATTTTATTATTTATTTGTTATAATTTTTAATAATATATTTATTATCAAAGTTTATTATTATTTAATAGCAATATATTTATTATCATTTATTATTATATTGTTTATTTGTTATAATTTATTTAATAATATATTTATGATAATTATCAAAGTTTTTTATTATTTAAAATATATTTATTATAATCAAAGTTTATTATTTTATTTTATTATTCATTTATTATAATTTATTTAATAATATATTTATTATTATTATTATCCTCAAAGATCATTATTATTTTATTTTATTATTTATTATAATTTATTTAATAATATATTTATTATAATTATGATCAAAGTTTATTCTTATTAATTAATTAAATCAGTTGGGGACCCCTCCCCCCAGCAACTGCTGCTATGGGCCAGAGTGAAGAGAGAAGGGTCCAGACGAGAGTTCCACCTTGTCTCCCGTGTTATGCTAATAATATAATATAATGTAATATAGTATAATGTAATATAATATATTGTATATACATATAATATTTTAATATTATAATGTAATACAATATAATACTACTACTAGTGGCCAGAATACCCTCATGAAAAAGCTGGAATCTTAAATAGCCTCTGTGTGTCTGTCTATATATGTTGTGTGTCTCTATGGCATTGATTGTTTGCCATATGTGTATGTATATGTGCATTGTAATCCACCCTGAGTCCCCTGTGGGGTGAGAAGGGCGGAATACAAATACTGTAAATAAATAATAAAAATAAATACTAATAATAATATATTCTAATTATATATTTTATATTACTAATATTAATTACGGAGCCCCCAGTGGCGCAGTGGGTTAAAGCACTGAGCTGCTGAGCTTGTTGATCGAAAGGTCGCAAGCTCGATTCCGGGGAGCGGCGTGAGCTTCCGCTGCCAACCTAGCAGTTTGAAAACATGCAAATGTGAGTAGATCAATAGGTACCGCTCCGGCGGGAAGGTAACGGTGCTCCATGCAGTCATGCCGGCCACATGACCTTGGAGGTGTCTACGGACAACGCTGGCTCTTCGGCTTAGAAATGGAGATGAGCACCACACCCCAGAGTCAGACATGACTGGACTTAATGTCAGGGGACTACCTTTACCTAATATTAATTACTAATATATTTAGTAATGTATATTATTTTTTATTTATTTATTTACCTTACTTATATACTGCTCTCAGCCCGAAGGCGACTCACAGCGGTTCACAACAAATACGAACAGCAAAAATTCAGTGCTACAGTATAGAAACAGTTAACAACCTAACACATTACACATTACACACCCATTCACTGTCGTCTCGTCATCAAAAACATGTTCCAGATTCGTCATCCATTGTTCCATTCCAGTGTTCATTAACCAATCATTGCACTAATTATTCGAACGCCTGCTCAAAACAGCCAGGTCTTCACTTTTTTGCGGAATACCATTAGAGATGGTGCTAGTCTAATGTCCGTAGGAAGGGCGTTCCACAGCCGAGGAGCCACCACCGAGAAGGCCCTATCTCTCGTCCCCGCCAGCCGAGCTTGAGAAGCAGGCGGGATCGAGCGCAGGGTCTCCCCGGAAGATCTCAAAGTCCTGGTGGGTTCATAGGCAGAGATGCGGTCGGATAGGTAGCTTGGGCCGGAACCGTTTAGGGCTTTAAAGGCCAACGCCAGCATTTTGAATTCAGCCCGGTAGCAGATCGGTAGCCAGTGGAGTTGGCGCAGTAGGGGGGTTTATATTACTAATAATATTACACTATAATGGTATAGTACAATATAGTAAGATTTAATACTGATATTGTACTATGCTAATAATATAATATGTTGTATGTATATATATCTTGTAAGCTGCTCTGAGTCCCCTTCGGGGTGAGAAGGGCGGCATAGAAATGTTGTAAATAAATAAATATTCTTTATTAATGGGGGGGGGTGAGTTGGGGCCATTTCCGAGTTCCTTTTGAGAAGCCTGAGAAGGAGAGGAAAAGGGACTCTGAATTCCTAAAACCGAACACACCGCATTGAGTGCTCTTAAGCAAGGCGACTTCCGCCCAAGCTGGAAAGGCGCCTCTACACATGAGTAGCTCTACGTTCGCCGCGCTTTGTTTGCATCACGTGCTCCCAAAGTGGGCGGGGCCATCCTTCTCCCGCTCCGCCCAATGAGGAGGCGCGCCGCTGTCGCTCGCCGCCTTCTGATTGGCTGCGGGGAAGGAGGCAGGAAGTGGCCCGGCCTGGGACGGCTTGGGGTTGCTGCTGCTTGTTTTCCTCGCGCGAAGGATGGAGCCGGCGGCGAAGGGTCAGGAGAGCCTCAGGTGAGGGGCAGGGAAGGGTTTGCGCCTGCGCAGAAGAGCCAACGGGGGAGGTCGTGACGTAACGAGAGGGGATTCCCTGACCCGGCGAGGATTAAGCGCCAGGCCGGTTTTGCAAAAGGGGGAAAAGTCACATGACAGGCCTCGGTGGGCATTAAATCCAGTGGAGGGAGGAAGGGAAGGGAAGGGAGTACGGGAGCAGGGCAATGGCGTCCGAGGAAGAAGGGCCTCCCGAGGGGCCCCTGCCGGAAGTGGAGGGCCTGCTGCCTTCTCCCTTCCCGCTTTCGCGTAGCCGCTCTTCCAGCCTGAGCAGCACCGGCTCCGGAGGAAGGGCCCATCTCCGGCAGCGCGTGGCCCAGCTCATGGCCTGCGTGGAAGACGTCAGTTCCGGGGACGAGGAGGTCCAAGAAGAGGTCTCCCGCACCCTGGACGAGGCCTTCCTCCTCTGTGGCAGGAAGACCCGCCACCGGGACAGGAAGGGCAGGCCGCTCAGGTGCTCCCTCAATGGGGAGCTGGAGCTGACGGGGGGAGCTCATCCGCACCCACCCCCAGATTCAACCCTGTAACCCATTGCAGCACTGGGGGCTCCTCATAGGAGATATGGCAAGGTGGGATGAATGGGAGAGAGGAAAAGAGTTAAAGGACCCTTGGATTGATGGGCTCCCTCTTGTCCTCCCCTTGCAGGCTGCACCTAGTCACCTGGAATGTGGGCACGGCCTCCCCACCGCCGGAGGTCACCTCCCTGCTCCATCTCAACTCCCCGGAGCCTTCGGTGGACCTCTATGTCATTGGGTAAGTCTCTGCCCGGCCTCGTAAAGCTGGGGCCAAGTCTCCTATTGGAAACCACAACCATCTTCAAGCCTCCTCTTAGTGATTTCTTATGTTGTTTTGTTATTTTGTTTTGTTATTTTTATGCTATGCTGTTTACTCTGTCTGTTTTGGTGAGTCCCCCTCGGGGAGACAGAGCGGGTATATAAATAATGTTTATTATTATTATTATTAATTATTATTATTTGAAATACAACAAGATGAGTCCACAGCAGAGAAGAATACTCTGCTGGCCGTTGTATTGGATCACATGTAGACACTTCCCAAGTGTCTAGGACTGTGTGATGTATCAGCGAAAAATGCGCACAGATCCAAGTCAGGTGGCTTTTTGAAGTTGGCAGATCGTGATTTTGTCAATGTTTATTGTTTCCAAATGCTGGCTGAGATCTTTTGGCACAGCACCCAGTGTGCCGATGACCACTGGGACCACCTGTACTGGTTTATGCCAGAGCCTTTGCAGTTTGATTTTGAGGTCTTGATAGCAGCTGAGTTTTTCCTGTTGTTTTTTCCTCAATGCGGCTGTCACCTGGAATGGCAACATCAATAATCCAAAACTTTTTTCTTTTCCACAATCGTGATGTCTGGTGTGTTGTGTTCCAGAACTTTGTCAGTCTGGATTCAAAAGTCCCACAGTATTTTTGTATATCCATTTTCCATGACCTTTGCAGGTTTATGATCCCACCAATTCTTTGCTGCTGGCAGGTGTTACTTGTGACATAAATTCCAGTGAGTCATTTGGGCCACAGAGTTGTGCCTCTGTTTGTAGCCCGTCTGTGCAATTTTCTTGCAACAGCTGAGGAGATGGACCATGGTTTCATCAGCTTCCTTGCACAGTCTGCATTTTGTATCATCCGCTGATTTTTTGATCCTGGCCTTAATTGCATTGGTTCTGAAGGCTTGCTCCTGGGCTGCAAGAATCAGGCCTTCTGTCTCCTTCTTCAGGGTTCCATTCGTAAGCCATCACCAGGTCTTCTCCTTGTCAACTTTTCCTTCAATTTTGTCAAGGAACTGCCCATGCAATGCTTTGTTGTGCCAGCTGTCAGCTCTGGTTTGGAGTGTAGTTTTCTTGTACTGACTGTTTATTATTGTTGTTGTTATTTGAAACATAACAAGATAAGTCCACAGCAGACACTCCGCTGGCTGTTGAATTGGATCAAACGTTGGACACTTCCCAAGTGTCTAGAACTGTGTGATGTATCTGCGAATAATGCATGCAGATCCCAGTAAGGTGATCTTCTGCAGCTGGCAGATGGTAGTTTTGTCAGCGCTGATTGTGTTTTAAGTACAGGCCAAGATCTTTAGGCACTGCACCCAGTGCGCCGATCACCACTGGAACCCCCTTGACTGGCTTGTGCCAGAGTCTTTGCAGTTTGATCAGCTTTTCCAGTTGTTTCTCTTCAATCCTGCTGTCACCTGGGATTGCAACATCGACAATCCATACTTTCTTTTGTAACATGATTGTGAGGTCAGGAGTATTATGCTCCGAGACTCTGTCTGTCTGAATCCGGGAGTCCCAGAGTAGCTTGACGTGTTCATTTTCTGTAACTTTTTCCAGCTTGTGATCCCACCAGTTCTTTGTTGCAGGCAGATGGTATTTGTGGCACAAGTTCCAATGAATAATCTGAGCAACGGTGTTATGCCTCTGCTTGTAGTCTGTCTGCACGATCTTCTTGCAGCAGCTGAGGATGTGATCTATTGTTTCATCTGCTTATTATTATTATTATTATTATTATTATTATTATTATTATTATTATTATTATCACAAGTGCTGAACCTGACCTAGCACATAGAAGATGGCTTTGAAAGGCAGCGGATTAAAAGGAGCTGTCTTCATAGACCTGTCAGCAGCTTATGACACTGTGAATCATCGTCTTATCCTGAGAAAAATTGATAACATCACAAAGGATTACCACCTTGCCCACTTCATAGGACATCTACTATCAAAACAGGAGCTTCTTTGTTGAATTCCAGGGCCAGAGAAGCAGATGGTGAAAACAAAAGAACAGCCTGCCTCAGGGGAGTGTGCTTGTTCCTTCATGGTTGAACATTTACACAAATAACCAGCCACTGCCAGAAGGGACAGAGAGTTTCATCTATGCTGATGATCGTGCCATCAGTGCTCAAGCAGGGAGCTTTGAGATGGTTGAACAGAAGCTCTAGGTGCTCTTACTGCCTATTACAGGGGAAAACTAGCTGATACCTAATCCATCTAAAACACAGACGTTTGCTTTTAAGAACAGACAAGCATCTTGAGCTCTGAGGATTACCTGGGAAGGAATCCCACTTGAGCATTGCAGCACATCCAAATACCTGGGAGTTACCCTGGACTGTGCTCTGACTTATAAGAAGCACTGCCTGAATATCAAGCAAAAAGTGGGTGCTAGAAACAATATCATACGAAAGCTGATTGGCACAACCTGGAGATCACAACCAGACACAGTGAAGACATCTGCCCTTGTGCTTTGCTACTCTGCTGCAGTGTATGCATTCCCAGTGTGGAACACATCTCACCACGCTAAAACAGTGGGTGTGGCTCTTAATGAGACATGTCGCATTTTCACAGGGTGTCTGCGCCCTACACCACTGGAGGAATTATACTGTTTAACTATTGCACCACCTGACATTCGCTGGGAAGTAGCAACCAACAGCGAAAGGACCAAAGCAGTGACACCTCGGGCCCATCCCCTGGTCAGATACCAGCCAGCATGCCAACAACTGAAATCAAGAAATAGTTTTCTAAGATCTACAGAGACACTCGCTGGAACACCTCAGCAAGTGAGAGTCCAAAAGTGGCAAGCTCAAACCCAGAACCTCAATCAATGGCTGATACCAAATGAGAGACTCCCTCCTGGGCACACAGAAAACTGGGCACCTGGAAGGGGCTGAATAGACTGCGCTCTGGCACCACGAGATGCAGAACCAACCTTAAGAAATGGGGCTACAAAGTGGAGTCCACAACATGCGAGTGTGGAGAAGAGCAAACCACAGACCACCTACTACAATGCAGCTTGAGTCCTGTCACATGCGCAATGGAGGACCTCCTTATAGCAACACCAGAGGCACTCCAAGTGGCCAGCTACTGGTCCAAGGACATTTAATATAACACCAAGTTTTCAAACTTTGTGTTTTGTTTTGTTTGTTTTTTTTAAAAATACAACAGTACCCTTGGTTCACTCCTGATACGATAAATAAATAACCAAAGCCTTCTTTGTTTTTGTCTCTTGAGTTCATGACATAGAGTATATATATATATAGGGCACTGAAAAACACTTCTGAAATTTCTGTTTGTATGCATTGGCAAATCTTTGTTTTCCTAACAGATCAGAGCTAATAGGTTCAGTTTAACAACTGAAGACACTGCCTTGCATATTATATATATATATATATATATGTGTGTGTGTGTGTGTGTGTGTGTGTGTGTGTGTGTGTGTGTTGCATAGGGACGACTTGAGAAACTGCAAGTCACTTCTGGTGTGAGAGAATTGGCCATCTGCAAGGATGTTGCCAGGGGACGACCGGCTGTTTGATGTTTTACCATCCTTGTGGGAGGCTTCTCTTATGTCCCCGCATGGGGAGCTGGAGCTGACAGAGGGAACTCAACCCGCTCTCTCTCCATTTGAACCGCTAATGTATCGGTCAGCAGTCCTGCCGGTACAAGGGTTTAAGCCATTGCACCACCGGGGGCTCCCGTATACCATATGAGAAGATTCTATTCAAACGGGTTTTGGGCTCTTCTCTGAAAGATCAAACTTTTCCAAAATGATCTATCTCCACATGGTTATGAATGCCATTTTTCCAAAAGAGCCTTCTGTTCAGTTTGCAGGAGGTGAACTCCAAGATCGTGACCTTCCTCTCGGACATGGCCTTCGATGACCCCTGGAGCAGCTTCTTCATGGCGGTCCTCTCCCCACTGGGCTTCGTCCGGGTGAGACAGGCGGGCGGGTTCTTCTCCGGGAAGATTGTCGTTATTCAGAGCTGCTGTTCATTTGGGCCGCCGGAAGCTGCACTGTCAGATTAGGAGCCGTGTCAGAAACCCACAGCTATAGCGTTTCCTTTCTGAACTAAGCAGGGAAAACAACAACACATTGTGACTTGCTGCCCAGGCATTGCTTCTCATTCTTGGGGACCCAAATCCTCTGCGAAGGGGCCTCCGTGTCCTTCTCCTCTGTTCTTCCCAAATCCCTTTGATTTGTTTTGAGTGGGTCGGACTGTGACTTCATCATACCTTTTGAAGTCTCAGGGGGCGGTTTGTGCCATGAGAGTTTGGGTTCCTTCCAGAGCCAGGATTTATCTCAGGCATGGGCAAACTACGGCCCTCCAGGTGTTTTTGACTCCAGCTCCTACAATTACTAACAACCTACCTGTCATTATTTCCTGGTTTTATGTGAAGCCAGGAAATTAGGTCATGCCTTAGACCTGTCCTGTGTATATTTGAATTCTGGGAGAGGTTTGCCATGGAAATGAGAGCAATACAAGGGAGGGGCCAGGGTGAGGCGTGAGGGAAATAAACTGTCAGTTGGAATTTTGTTGTGTTCCCTAATGCATGCTTTTGAATTAAAGCCTTCCAACTTCATTTATGAAATAAAATTTGAAGAAAACAGCACTCTCTAACTTGACACCTTCCAGAAAGCTACAGATCCGGACAAATGTCTTTGCCAAAAAGCTACAGATCCGGACACTACCGGCTGTTACAAATTGTGGGAGTCCAAAATACCTGAAGGGTCAAAGCTTGCTCATTCCTGATCTATTTTGTGTTATGTGTGGGGGGCTGTCTGCTCAGAGCCAGATCTATCTGTTTGCAGGTGTCTTCTATCCGAATGCAGGGCCTTCTCCTCCTCGTCTTCACAAAGCAGGCACACCTTCCGTTCATCCGCGATATCCGGAGCCAATTCACCCGAACAGGCCTCTACGGCTATTGGGTGAGTCATGATGACTACAGTCACAGAACTGGAAATGACACCATCCAGTCCTTGCTTTCCTTACTTAGACAATCACTCGTAGCCGGAGGATGATGGTCCTCCAAATGCAGTGTCTTGGCAGTGGCTCTGTAGGTGGCTGTGGAGCCCTATTTTTGTTCTGCATGTTCTCCTGCAGTGAGGACATTGGTTTCCAGTTGGAAGTCGGTCCCAGTCAGGATTGTCTTGATGTGCCTTCCTCTTGGCACTTTTCTCCCTTTCGCCTTTAATTCGTGCCTCTTCGAATTCCGCAGCACTGCTGGACACATCTGACCTCCAGTTACAGCGCTCAAGGGCCAGGGCTTCGCAGTTGTTGGTGTCTATGCCACAGTTTTTAAGGTTGGCTTTAAGCCCATTTTTCAGTGTCTTTTCCTGTCCAACCTCCTTCTGGCAGGCTGGAAAAGTACAATCAAATCACCCTCAACAGATGGTCAGCCTTTGCTTAAAAGCCTGCAAAGAAGGGGTCTGCACTGGACTCTGATGTAGTGAGTTCCATTGTTGAACAGTTCTTCTTACTGTCAGGAAGTCCTTTCTAATGTTCAGGTGGGATCTCCTTTCCTGTCATTCGAACCCATGGCTCCATTGAGTCCTATTTTATTTATTTATTTACAGTATTTATATTCCGCCCTTCTCACCCCAAAGGGGACTCAGGGTGGATTACAATGTACACATATATGGCAAACATTCAATGCCAAAGACACACAAAACATATAGACAGACAGTCAGAGGCTATTTAACTTTTCTGGCCGCCAGGGGAGCTGTCGCTTTCATCGTCCATCTGCGACACTGATGCAGTACTTCTGCATTCCCCGCATGCTTTTGCTGAAGTCCTTTTTATGGCCTCGTAAATTAATTAAATTAGCCTCCCCACACATAAGTGGTACCTAATTTTCCTACTTGACAGATGCAACTGTCTTTCGAGTTGCAAAGGTTGACAACAATCTACACAATTGGTCGGATGCTCACTCTGACCCGGGCTGGCTTCGAACTCATGACCTTTTGATCAGAAGTGATCTTAATGCAGCTGACACTCAGCTAGCTGTGCCACAGTTTCCAGGACAGCAGAAAACAAGCGTTCCTTACAACATTCTTTCAAATATTTAAACATGGCTTCTCTCAACCTTTCTCTTTTACAGGCTAAATAGACCCAGCTCTTTAAGCCCTTCCTTTAAGCCCTCCTCTTTCAGCCTTGCTCTCTCTTTCATTGCCTTGCAGGGGAACAAGGGGGGCGTCACCACACGCATGTCCCTCTATGGCCACTCGGTCTGCTTCCTAAACTGCCACTTGCCGGCCCACATGGAGAACACAGAGCAGCGCCTGGACGACTTCGAGCACATCCTTGACATGCAGCAGTTTGACGGCGAGAGCATCCCTGGCGTCATGGATCACGAGTAAGGGGCTGTGGCGCCTTAGAAAAGAAGTCCCGGTTTTGGGGAAGGTGCCTTCTCCTTCTCACTTGTGGGATCCAAATAAAAGCAAAATCTCTAAGGAAGGCAGTCCTATAGCAGATCAGGGGGAGCTTTTTTAGTTAGACATATTCCATTCTGTCTTGGCAATGTGACTGTAGGTGACTGTGGAGCTTATTCTTGATCCACATATTCTCCCACAGTGAGGACATCAGTTTCCAGGTAGAAGGCGGTCCCGGTCAGGGGTGGCTTCACACGTCTCCTTCCTCTGCCACGTTGCTCCTTTTTGCTCTCCATTTGTGCCTCTTCAAATTTTGCAGCACTGCTGGTCACAGCTGTCCAAAGGAGTTGAAGCCTTTGTGACTCGGTTAGACTGGTCTTTGTAGCTTTCTCTGGTTCTTTTTCAGTCATTTCTTTATTCCTCCCTCCCTCCATAAAGCATCGTTTTCTGGTTTGGAGATTTAAACTTTCGGATTGAAGACTACGGGCTGCATTTCATCCGGGAATCAATCAACAAGAACCGCTTCAGTCTCTTGTGGGAGAAGGACCAGGTACTGAGCTGGATCAGTCCTTTATGGCTGTGTTTCTCAACTGTCCTAATGACCCCTTAATACAGTTCCTCATGTGTGGTGACCCCCAACCATAACATTATTTTTGTTGCGACTTCATAACTGTCATTTTGATACTGTTATGAATAGTAAAGTAAATATCTGATCTGCAGGGCATCTTTTCATTCACTGGACCAAATTTGGCAAAAATACTCGATACGCCCACATTTGGGGTTGAGGGGATTGATTTGGTCATTTGGGAGTTGTAGTTGCTGGGATTTATAGTTCACCTACAATCAAAGAACATTCTGAACTCCACCAATGATGGAATTGACCTAAACATGGCACACAGAACTCCCATGACCAACAGAAATCACTGGAAGGGTTTGGTGGACATTGACCTTGAGTTTTGAAGTTGTAGTTCACCTATATCCAGAGAGCATGGTGGACTCAAACCACAATGGATCTGAACCAAACTTGGCACAGATGCTCAATATGACCAAATGTGAACATTGGTGGAGTTTGGGGAAAATAAACCTTGATATTTGGGAGTTGTAGTTGCTGGGATTTATAGTTCACCTACAATAAAACTCCCCCAATGATGGAATTGGGCCAAACTTGGCACACAGAACTCCCATGACCAATGGGAAATATTGGAAGGGTCTGGTGGGCATTGACAATGAGTTTTGGAGTTGTAGTCCACCTTCACCCACATCCAGTGGACTCAAACAATGATGGATCAGGACCAAACTTGGCACGGAAACTCAGTATGCCCAAAAGTGAACACTGGTGGAGTTAGGGGAAAATAAACCTATACATTTGGGATTTGTAGTTGCTGGGATATATAGTTCTCTTACAGTCAAAGAGCATTCTGAACCCCATCAACGAAAGAATTGAGGCAAACTTCCCACACCGAACCCCCATGACCAAAAGAAAATATTGTGTTTTCTGATGGTGTTTGGTGACCCCTCTGACACCACATCACGATCCTCCCCAGGGGTCCCGACCCCCAGGTTGAGAAACGCTGTTTTATGGTCTTCCCTCTTGGGAGTGGTCCTCCATTTCAGCACCTCTTTTACCCCATTGGTGATAGTTTGGGGAGTATTTGTAGTGTGCTCCCAGATGGGGTCCCTTACCCATAGATCTTGGGGGAGGAGTCACCACTCAGAGATCAAGACCTCCCTCCATTGTCTCTTGGAGGGCTAGAAAAGGATCCTTGGACTGAAAGACAATGGTGTCCTCTTTGTGGCAAATGTGAGGAGTGTTTCCAGGAGTCTAAATGCTCCCTGATCTTGCTTTTCATTCTTCAGCTGAACATGGCAAAGAAGCGTGAGGCCATCCTGCAGGAATTCTCAGAGGGGCCCCTGAAGTTCAAGCCCACTTACAAGTTTGATCTCTACTCCAACGAGTACGACACCAGGTAAACCCTTTCCCTTCGACTCAGCCTTTGGCTTCATTGGTGGGCTGTGGGACCACCCCAAAAGGCCTTAAAGCCTACTTTCCTGGGTCTAGAGAAGCCTCTTGCCCACAGACTGGCAGAAAGAAATGTTTGAACTGACATCGGTTTGTATTTCCAGGGGCCAGAAGATGTTCATTTTGTTTAAGTAAGGCAATTCCAGTATATTTACTCTCAAAATCTTTAGAACTTTAGGCTCCTAGATTGTCCTTTAGTTCGATTTGAAACTCACATTGCTTTCTATCTGTTGCTGTTCTTGCTCCTAACGTGTGTTAAGTGGCACATGATGGATCTGAGAGGGCAAAGAGGGACTTGCACCCAATGTTGCCTCTCAAGTCCTTCAGCTCCCATGACAGGAAACGTCTGCTTGGGCTTGGTGGCCTTCACGGCTGGCCTTTGGCTCTCTTCTACCGATCAGAAGGGGAGGCAGTGGCAGTTCTGCCAGCCACACTTTATTTATCCGCCTGGCAGCTTTAAAGATGACCGCCGGTTGCCCTCCTGGAGTCATGTAATCCCTTCAAAGCAATCCGTTGCATCAGGAAGAATTAAGGTTGATGCTCAAGCCGTTTGGCGTTTCTGCCCTTGCACACCTTTCCTCTCCTTTTTGCCTCCTTGTTTCCTTACACAGGTAGCTATTTCTCTTTAAAGCAGGTATGGGCAAACCCAGGCACAGGGGCCGGATGCTGCCCCTTGGGCTGTTATCTCAGGGCTCCTCTCTCACCATCCTATCCTTCTTTCTCTCTTTCCTTCTTCCTTCCCTTCCACCCTTTTGTCCTTTCTTCCTTCCATCCTCCCTTCCCTCTTTCTCATCCCCTCCTTCCTTCCCTTCCTTTGCTCTTCCTTCCCTCTCTCCCTCTTTCTCCTTCCTTCCTTCTCTTTCATCCTTCCTTCTCTTTCCTTCCTCCTTCCACCCTTTCTTAATTCCCTCTTTCCTTCCTCCCCTCTTTCCACTCCCTCCTTCCTTCTTTCTCTTCCTTCCCTCTTCTCCTCTTGCTCTTTCCTTCCACCCTCCATCCATCCTTCCCTTCTTTCCTCCTCCTCCCTTCCTCCTTTCATCTTTTCCTTCCCTTTCCTTCCTCCTCCCTTCCCTCTTTCTCTCCCTCCTCCTTCCCTTTCCCCTTCCTTCCCTCTCTTTCTTTTCTCCTCCTTCCTTCCTTCCTTCCTTCCTTCCTTCCTTCCTCTTCCTTCCTTCCTTCTGTCCGTCCTTCCCTCCCTCCCTCCCTCCCTTTCGTCCTTCCTCTCTTCCTCTTCCTCTCCCCTTTCATCCCTTTTCCTTCCTCTTTCCTTCCTCCTCCTTCCCTCTTTCTCTCCTTCCTTCCTCTCTCCCTTTTTCCTTCCTTCCTTCCTTCCTTTCTTCCTTCCTTCTTCTTTCCCTTCCTTTTTCCTTCCAGCCTTCCCTCCCTTTTCTTCCTTCCTTCTTTCCTCCTTCCTTCCCTCCCTCCTTTCTCCTTCCACCCTTCCTTCCCTTTTTTTTCCTTCTCTTTTCCTTTATCCTTCCCTTCCTTCCATCCTTCTTTCCTTCCTCCTCTCTTTTCTTCTTCCTTCTCTTTCTCCCTTCTTCTCTTTTTCCTTTTCCTTCCTCCTTCCCTTTTGTCTTTCCTTCCTTCCCTCTCCTCCCATCTCTCCCTCTTTCTCCTTCCATTCTTCTCTTCCCCTCTCATTCTCTTCCTCCCTTTCTTCCTTCCCTTTCGTCCTTCCTTACTTCTTTCTTTCCCTCCTCCTTTCCTTCCTTCTTTCCCTCACTGGGCAGCCAGTCCTCCTGGCAGGGAGTGCTAGCATGTGGCCCCCAAGTTAGAAAATTTGCCCCTGCCTGCTCTAAAGGGAGGCACTAGGACTAGAACAGCCTGTGCGTCCAGGTCCCAAAATGGGAGGGAGGAGGGACTCATATATGGCTTTTTAATATTTCATGCACAATGTTTGCTAACAACTCCTCTGTTCTAGATTTGTCCCATGAGTGTGTTTTCTCAGCTGTGCAATGAGGGCAGGAGGAAGGGGACGTCTTGGCCTCTGTAAGGGCTGACGGCCTCTTCTGAGGCGGAATGGGCCTGTTCTCACTACCACCTCCTGCTCACTTCTGCAGCGGGAAGAAGCGGAAGCCAGCTTGGACGGACCGGATCCTCTGGAGAGTGAAGCACCTCTTGCCCCAGGAGTCAGAGGCCAGAGAGGAGGAGGAGGAGGAGGAGGCAGACTCAGCGATATCTGTCTCCCTCAAGAGCTACGTCAGCCACATGAGTTATGGCATCAGCGACCACAAGCCGGTCACCGGGACTTTTGAGCTTGAGGTAACAGCCTTCTTTCCTCCTCTTTCAGTGCAAGCTTGTCTCCTAGATAAAGGCCCTTGGAGCCCAGGACTGGCCTGGACCATGTCTTCAAAGGATGGCTAAATAGGTGGAACTGGGTGTTTGAGGAAGAGGCTGGTCTTTCCAAGTCACCAGGAGGATAGAGGACTCTAGAGCAGCGTTTCCCAACCTGGGGGTTGGGACCCTTGGTGGGGTTGCGAGGGGGTGTCAGAGGGGTTGGCAAACACCATCAGAAAACATATACACACACACACACATACACACACACATATATGTATATATATAATACCAATATTGTGCTATGCTAATAATTATATTGTATGTACATTTAATATTGATCATAATATAATGCGAATAATAATATAATATAATGGCATAAATTTTATGTTGCATAAAACATTACTAATAATATTGCAGTATAGTAGTATAGTACAATATAGTAATATATAATACCAATATTGGGCTATCTCATTATATATTATACATTATACATATAACTTGCAAGCCACTCTGAGGCCCCTTCGGGGTGAGAAGGGTGAGATATAAATATCATAAATAAATAAATTTATATTTCCAGTATATAAATCTGTATAAATAAAAATGTACTGTTTGTTTGTTTCTGACATTAACATAATTCAAAAACCAGTGGACGAATTGACACCAAATTTGGACACAATACATGTATCAGGCCAACGAGTGACCATCACACAGAAAAACACAGCAGAAGAGACTTAAAAAGCCAAAACATTAAAAATACATTACATATATATACACACAAACACACATCCATCGTTGGTGGAGTTCAGAATGCTTTTCAATTGTATGAGAACTATAAATCCCAGTAACTACAACTCCCAAATGACAAAATCAACCCCATCAGTATTCAGATTTGGACGTGTCAAGTATTTGTGCCAAATTTGGTCCAATGAATGAAAATACATCCTGCATATCAGATATCTACATGATGATTCCTAACAGTAGCAAAATTACAGTAGTAACAGTAGTAAGGAAAATATGGTATGGTTGGGGGTCACCACGAAATGAGGAACTGTATTAAGGGGTTGTGACATTAGGACGGTTGAGAAACACTGCTCTAAAGGATCCCAAATTAACATGTTTTAATCCAAGGCCACTTCTTTACTCCAGATGAAGACACTGGTGTCAGATCCGCTAGTCAAGATACGTCCGGTGGGCAACTGGACAGCTGAACAAGATGCCATGGTCAGTTACTCCACAGCTCCTGACTTCCAGAGCAGCGCTTGGGACTGGATCGGCCTCTATAAGGTAATCTCTCTTCAGGGCAGGGCTATGGATATTGAGTGCATGGGTGCACAGAACTACATGTTTTGGTCTCCCAAAGGGAGAGACTTGTGATGGGACTCTGATTCTGATATCATTGGCCATGTCTACCAGTCAGACAGGCCTCTCTTCAGTCCTGCTCAAATGCCATAGAGCAGATCCCTAGGGGGATCACGAGGGAATTTCAGAGCTATCGCCAAATACCATCAGGAAACTTATACAAGGTGGTCTTTGGCAGAGAAGGCTGAAGGTCTCTTCGCCTGTCCTTCTCTTCCTTTTTGGAAACAGATGCGAAACTTCCCACCAAAAGCCCTCTTCTGCTCTGATTGGCAAGCCTCTCAGCCAAGGGGAGGGCTGTTTCTGAGACTCCAAGCAGGGAGGGGAGAGCAGGTGTGCTTAGCACATGGCAGCGTTGTGCGCATGTGTGGGCAAGGAAGAGCATGCGAGGCCGGAGGGAGGCTCATGCCTTGCGGATTCTGTGTGGGAAGTTTGGCTCAATTCTATCCTTGGTGGGGTTCAGAATACTCTCTGATTGTACTTTAAATCGCAGTGACTACAACTCCCAAAAGTCAAGGCCACAAGGGGGGGATGTCAGAAGGGTTGCCAAAGACCATCAGAAAACACATAGGGGTTTGGTGTGGGAAGTTTGGCTATAGTTGGTGGGGTTCAGAATGCTCTTTGATTGTAGATGAACTATAAATCCCAGCAACTACAACTCCCAAATGTTAAATTCTATTGTCGCCAAACTCCACCAGTGTTCACATTTGGGCATATTGAGTATTCGTGCCAAGTTTGGTCCAGTCCATCATTATTTGATGTAGTTCACCTACATCTCTGGATGTAGATGAACTACGACTCCAACACGCAAGGTAATGCCCACCAAACCCTTCCAGTTTTTTTCTGTTGGGCATGGGAGTTTTGTGTGTCAAGTTTGATTCAGTTTTATCAAAAGTGGAGTTCAGAATGCTCTTTGATTGTAGGCGAACTATAAATCCCAGCAACTACAACTCCCAAATGACAAAATCAACCTCCCCCCGAACCCCACCAGTATTCAAATTTGGGCGTATTGGGTATTTGTGCCAAATTTGGTCCAGTAAATGAAAATACATCCTGCATATCAGATATTTACATTATGATTCATAACGGTCGCAAAATGACAGTTATGAAGTAGCAACGAAAATAATTTGATGGTTTGGGGGTCACAACATGAACTGTATTAAGGAGTCGTGGCATGAGGAAGGTTGAGAAACAGTGCCATAGAGGATAGCTTGCGCATGTGTCATTAATCATTATTTGGCCTCATCCCAAGTCATGTGTGTTTGGTTTCCTTCTCAAAAAAATGGGGACTCATCTGGCATTCTTTAACCGTAATGCCTCCTGTCTCACGTGGCTGTCCACCAAACCAAATAGCTCACACATTTCAGGTGGCCTTCAGCCATTGTCCTGCTGTGTTCATGGTCGCTTCCTCCTTCTCTTTCTGTCTGTCATGCAGGTGACATTCAAGCACCCCAATGACTATGTGATGTACGCCTGGGTGCAGGACAATGAGATCTCCTCTGGGGACGAGGCCAAGCAGGTGAGAGGCAATGGGGCAAATGACGATCCACATAATTTGTTTAGAGTCAGGTTTTAGGGCTGACGGCCTTGATGTCTCCATTCCCAGGTCTACCTTGGTGCTGAGGAGCTTCCTGCCTCCGGAGGAGAGTTCCTGTTGGGCTACTTCAGCAACCAGATGCAGTCCCTCGTGGGGCTCAGTCAGCCCTTCCAGGTAGGTCTCTCTGGAACACCTGCCTTTCAAATCCCACATGTGTTGGAACTCTGATCTGGTCTGCGATGTCCTTTTATGTGTCCCTCCTCCAGATGCTAGACTACAATTTCTGTATTCCTCATCATTAGATATCATAATGACTAGGGCTGATGGGAGTTGTGATACAGTAACATCTGGAAGGCTGCTGTTGGTTCTGTTGAGTCAGGAGAGGGGGTTGGATTGAGATAAAAGGCTTGTGGGTGGGATGTCGGATGTTAAGATGTCCTCTAACCTTCCTCCAACCTCAGAGCCATATGTGCTGTTGGGTTGCCATTCCCATCATTTCCAGTCCACATGGCAGATAATCAAAACTGATGGAGACTGGAGGACCCAAACTGGGTAAAAACTAAAGATCATCTAACATGATGTTAGCGTGTTAGTCATCCGACACTCCGTATTATCCGACGCCATCATGTGACCGATTGGAAACACTACACCCTTTGATATGTGCTCATGAGAGCTGGTGGCCTTCTTTCCCATGCGCAAAAACTGTGAGGAGAAGGAAAAAGTGCATCTCCAAAGGGAAAGGAAGGAGGGTGAATCAAAAGAGAAAGAGGGATTGGAGGGGGAAAAAGGGAGGGAGGAGGGGAAAATAAAATGCAATGGCTCTTCTCTCTCTCTGCTCTTGGTGCTTGCTTACTTACTTACTTAGGCGAGCCTCGTTCGAGTAGGATAATCCTCCAGGGTGTGTCCCTATGGAGCCCTATTCTTGATCTGCACCTTCTCCTGCAGTGAGGGCATTGGTTTCCAGGTGGGAGGCGGTCCCGGTCGGGGTAGGCTTGACGCGCCTTCCTCTTGGCACGTTTCTCTCTTTCGCCCTCCATTCGTGCCTCTTCAAATTCTGCAGCACTGGTGGTCATGGCTGACCTCCAGCTGGAGCGCTCACGGGCCAGGGCTTCCCAGTTCTCAGTGTCTATGCCAGAGTTTTTAAGGTTGGCTTTGAGCCCATCTTTCAATCTCTTTTCCTGCCCACCACCATTCCGTTTTCCGTTCTTGAGTTCGGAGTAGAGCAACTGCTTTGGGAGACGGTGGTCTGGCATCCGGACAATGTGGACGGTCCAGCGTAGTTGATGCCAGAGGACCATCGCTTCAATGGCCTTACCTGGCCGGGTGGGCGGAGAAACCCCCCTTTCTTCCTGCACGCACACACACTTTGCTCCATATCTTCTCTCTCTCTCTTTTCCCTTTTTCTCCCCCACACACTCTCTCTTCTTCTTCCTCCTCCTCCTCTTTTACCTCTGACAGCCTTGCAGCAACTTGCACTTCTTGCCTTTTCCTCCTCCTCCCTCTCTTCTAACCCAAGCAAGGATAATTAGAGGCATAGAATCCTAGAAATGCAAGAGACCCCCTCCCTTAATAGGCTATCCAGTCCAGCCCCTTTTTTTCTAGGCTGGAAGGCACAAGCCAAGCTCTTCCAACACAGAGCCACCCAGCTCCAGGCGAGATTCTGGAGACAGTTGAATAATATCAGTGTTGAGCAAACTTTGGTTTTCCAGTGTTGCCATTCCTCTGTGCTCAATACGGGATTCTCGAGATAGTTTATTAATTAATTAATTAATTAACTATATTTATATACTGTCTCTCTCAGCCCGAAGGCAACTCGGAGCGGTTCACAGCTGTACCAAGACTATAAAATACAATTTAAAACATTAAAATATTATAAAACCATAGCAAAGTCAATAACAAACATATATCATTAGCATCTCCTTGCTGAAAACATTGGCCAATCACATCGTCTAATCGTTCCATTTTCCTATGTCAGTTACACTCTACAATATATCATTGTGTTCCCGAGTCTGGTCTTCCAGGTGTTTTGGATTTCTAACATGATGTTTTGGTGCTTAATTTGTAAAACCATAACGTAATTTGACATTTAATGGGCTTTTCCTTAATCCCTCCGTATTCAACATCTGCTGGCCTGTTTATGTTGGATAAGTGAGACTCTATTGCCGTTGTCCTTCTGTATCAATGGATCCATTGATCAATGGATCAATGGAGTCTTAGCATTATAGCTGGTAGAGGAAATGCCTTGGCAGCAAATGGTCACAGAGGGTAGTATGAGGGTGCTGCTGTTGCTTATTGATGCACCTACCGATGGATTTATATGCCTTTCAACAATGGCCCTTTGAAGGCAATAGCCCTTTGAAGGCAAACATAATCTGATGTAACCTCAATGAAAAGGAGTTGGGCATCTCTGGCTCAATATGGGTGCTTGGAGGAGTCTCATGCCCACTTCTCAGTGCTGCCAAAGCTCCCAAATGACCGGCCTTTTGAAGGCCTCTCAATTAACCACCTTCTCCTTCCTCCCAGATCCAGCCGAACAGAACTCTGCCCGAGAAGGACCCCTTCTGGGACGGGATTGAAGAGACGGAGAAGCCGTGCAACGAGAAGGCTCCCTGTGACTTTTGAAGAAGGGCGCTTGTGGGGATGCTTCTTGCTCTGCCCTGGGAGGGGGAGGAGGGGTACGGATGGACGGACTCTCTTTCCACTCAGAACATGTTTCCTAGGAAATAAATACCCCCACTCGCTCTTGTACTGGGCAGAAGCTGGGCCACATTCGGCAGTGGAGGGGCCTCCATCCATCCCCTTTGGGCTTCCAAGAGGGACAACGAGCGCCAGGTCCCTGTGTCCAAAGCTGCCTCTTGACCCCTCTTTTCAGGGGATGTTTTAGGAACCAGATGATGTTAGCATTCCAGTTTCCAATTTTATAGGAATGTACCTAGAATTTATGCGAGGAGCAGAAGTACATATATTATTACTGTTACAGTCTGGCTGAAAAGAAGCAATCCTAGGTCAGCAGGAGAATGTGGAGAGGGTGAAAGGGAGCCTCAGGGTTGCTTGGTGGGTTCTCTTATAGCTTTGGTTGTCTTTGTCTTCCTTGTCTTATATGGTAGTCCTGATCCACTGGAGCCCTTCTGAGATAAGAAGCAATCACTTGTCCTTCTGCTTGGGCTTCCTTTTTAGTCTGACACATTTAGGAAAAAGATGGACAATGCTCCTTCTCTCTTTCTTTCATGCAATCAAGGCTGTGAAACAATCAGCCATGTTGGCACCGTCCCTACACCAGTCCAAAATGCCCCTTTGGCCAGTTTCAGTGGCACTAGGCTAAGGAAATCCTGCTGTGATGCCATACCCTTCATGCCCACAATACCGTTGTCCTTTCTCACGATTCAAGGCAGTAGTCCATAGACTAGTGCTTGCCCGATGTGTTGCCGAATGCGATTATGTGGCTAGTTGTCAGAAAAAGAAGAAACCAGGAGAGAGAACCTCCATGTCAGGAAGAGAAAGTGCACCAATTCACTAATGGAAAAAGTCAGAGATGGCTTGAGCCCAAATATTGAGTGTTGCACATGCAATGGCAAAATGGAAAAGAGGAAGGAGACTTTCCCGGATCCGATATGGACAAGCAGACCTTAACTCTTCGACGTCTCAACCTATGGGTTCTGGACTGGGGCAGCTTGACCCTCGACGCTTTAGCACTTCTTCTGAGAGGGAAGGACATTGTGGAGGAATGTTTGCATGGATACATTAAGGATTTTAGGTTACATGAACTTTTAGGTTACATAAAGTGCTGCTAGATTTTTATGCAAATGGGTCCCAAGAGTTGACTCCTTATGTGCCGGGTGCAGGTCAACATGAGTCTTAGCATTATAGCTGGTAAAGGAAATGCCTTGGCAGCAAATGGCCTCAGAGGGTAGTATGAGGGTGCTCCTGTTACTTATTGATGCACCTACCGATGGGTTTATATGCCTTTCAACAAACACCCCTTAGACACACCCGAGTGCCATTACTAACAAACAATTCCTCGCTTTGTTTACGATGACAAATCTGCTTCATCCTTTACGGGATTTATTTTCTTTTTTAGAGGACTGTGGCCATCCAGTTTATTTCATTTTATTTGCTTCAGAACTAGTGTGATGTCATCCACTCTAACATTTGTGTGTATTACAGTAGAATCTTGTTTATCCGACCTTCATTTATCCAACACTCGTATCTGACGCCCCCTTTTCCTCCAGTATTTCCCCTTCAATTAAAGGAGCGCTCCCCAACACTCTCTCTATTTCCAATACAGTAGAGTCTCACTTATCCTACCTCCGCTTATCTGACATTCTGTCTTATCCGACAACCACCCTTTTCCTCCAGCATTGCTCCCCAACTCTCTCTCCATTCCCAATGTGAAAAAGGCAAGACGAGGAGGAGGAAGGAAAGAGAGAAAAGAGGCAGGACCGGAAGCGGAAGCGTCCTCCCTCCCTCTCTCTGTGATTTCCACGTTCCTCCACGCATCCGGGCACTTCTTGCTGGGCCGCTTTGACCCGTGGCGTTGCCTTGCCTTAACTCTTTGAGTCCCTGTTGTTAGTATTCTAGGTGTCCAGCGCTGTGTCGGACGGGTCACAGGAGACTCTATATTATCTGACATTTTGTTTATCTGACATTCTGCCAGCGTGTTTATGTCGGATAAGCAAGACTCTACTGTGAAACTATTTGCCAAAATTATCCAACATTTTGATTTATCCAATGTTTTGCCAACCCGGTTATATTGGATAAGCGGGACTCTATTGTAAAGGAACATATGTAAGAAGGGCCTGGTAGTCTTTCTACTATCACACCCTGCCCATCAGCGCTGGTTAGATGTATACTTTTTTCTGCCCTTTTGACATGCCAAAGATTTTTGTGGTATTCAGAGGGCCGAGAGAATTTGATGGTGGCAAGGCCTTGTGGAGACGGGTTCATACACCAGGTCCCACCAGGTCCAATGCAAGTGGCACAAATGGGAGAATCTATAGCACAAAGCACAGCTGTCTGCTCCCTTTGTTGGGGACGAAGGATGCCCCACATCCCCAGTTGCTTCTGTATGTTATTTGGAGGGCTGCCTCTTTAAAGAAGGCCTGTATACACATTCCATCAAACACTTGGCTTCCTTCGCTGACTTACTATTTGTTCCTGGGTATATTTTGAAAATGCTTAAATTTCACCTAAGGATTACTGCCTTCAGGCCTCTGAGATCCCAGTCCTGGTGTCAGAAGGTAGGCAGATGATGAGGCCTCCTTTGTGATAGTACCTTTTGTCCTGTAGTCACCCATTGCAAAGTGTTTTGTTTACTTTGCCGATATCTCTTTTCTGTTTGCTGCTTCGTTTTAGATTTAAGCTAAACCCCGAAGGGGTGCTCCATGATTATGCAGATTAAATCAACTTCTCTTGTTCCAAGTGTTTCTTCTGTGTCCTTCCTGAGGAGTGTTTGTGTCTTCAGCGATTTTTGGGGGGCGGGACAGGACAAGGCTGAGCAGAGCCTCCCTAGTTGAACTCTTCTCACAGGCTGCAGTGGTGTCTCTTCTCAAGATCCTCCTCAGCTTTGGCATTGGGATATCCTGGATTTAGTTGGCGGAACTTCTCTTCGAAAGGAAGGGGCCAGATCTACAAGGCTTATCCAGAAAGTAAGGTTACAAGGCACTTAGCTCTCATGGGGAATTTTCACAGGGGAACTTGGTATCACTGCCCTGTAGTGGGAAGCCGGTGAAAGCGAACGAGCAGTGCCAGTCATCAGTAACTCACTGACTGGTGTTGTGAAGGTTAGAGATGAGCGTCCTTATTCCGTTTCCCTCCGAGTACGAAGTTCATGCTGCACAAGGAATATCTGGAAAGTAAGGTTATAAGGCACGCAGCTCTCGCAGGGAATTTTGAAGGGAGAACTTGGTATCACTGCTGTGTAGTGGGAAGCTAGCAGAAGCGAATGAGAAGTGCCAGTCGTCAGTAGCTCATTGATTGGCGTTGTGGTGAAGGTTAGGGATGAGCATTCTCATTCCATTTCCCACCTAAGGCAATGGTTCTCAACCTTCCTAATGCTGCGACCCCCTTAATACAGTTCCTCGTGTTGTGGCGACCCCGAACCATAAGATTATTTTCATTGCTACTTCATAACTGTCATTTTGCTACTGTTACGAATTATGTAAATATCTGATATGCAGGATGTATTTTCATTCATTGGACCAAATTTGGCACAAATACCTGACACGTCCAAATTTGAATACTGGGGATTGGGAGGGATTGATTTTGTCATTTGGGATTTGTAGTTGCTGGGATTTATAGTTCACCTACAATCAAAGAACATTCTGAACTCCACCAATGATGAAATGGAACCAAACTTGGCACACAGAACTCCCATGACTAACAGAAATCACTGGAAGGCTTTGGTGGACATTGACCTTGAGTTTTGGAGTTGTAGTTCACCTACATCCAGAGAGCACTGTGGACTCAAACAATGATGGATCTAGACCAAACTTGGAACAAATACTCAATATGCCCAAATGTGAACACTGGTAGAGTTTGAGGAAAATAAACCTTGACATTTGGGAGTTGTATTTGCTGAGATTTATAGCTAACCTACAATCAGAGAGCATTCTGAACCCCACCAGCAATAGAATTAGGCCAAACCTTTTACACAGAACACCCATGACCAACAGAATATACTGTGTTTTCTGATTACCCCTCTGACACCCCTTTACAACCCCCCCAGGGGTCCCGACTCCCAGGTTGACAAATGCTGTGCTAAGGGCATGAACATTACTGCAATTCATTGTGAAATCATTTCAGTTTATGGAGAGGACATACTGTCAAGACAGCATGTGACAAAATGGGTATGGAATAGATTGAGATACCATGAAGAAACTTTGCAGAGCCATCCAAAACAAACATTGTGGGATGCTGATGGTGGGAGTCTGTATCCTTCATGACAGTGCGCGTCCACACACTGCTCATGCAACACAAGAGTTGTTGACTTCATTTGATTGGGATGTTTTAAGCCACCCTTCTCACAGCTCCGATCTTGCACCCAGCGACTATCATCTCTTCACTAAATTGAAGGAACACCTGGGTGGAAAACACATCTTTTTGATGGTGATGTGGTAAAAATCAAAACTGAAACAGGCGGAGATAAACTTCTATGACACAGGCATCAAAAACTTGTCCCATGGATGAGAAAATGCATTGAACTGAATGGTGATTATGTGGAAAATTAAAGCAATACCTATGCTACACTCCTTGTAAGTTTTATTAAACTATATTCATTCTCTGTATTTTTTTTAAAAAATAACTTGTAACCTTACTTTCCGGAGTTTGGACAGCCAAAGAGATTTCAGCATCGCTTTGCAACTCACAGTCTTCCTGAGTGGCAGAACTGCGTCTGTGCTCTGGCTCCCACTTGCGGAGAGAAATTAGATCTCTCCAGACCACAAAAAAAGGACAAATTGGAACTTTGTTCCAGAAAGGGAGAGGCTGTAATCTCTCTGTAGATCAAGGGCGCTGGCTGCTCAGCTAAGGCTTTTTAATTACAACTTCTCAGTCTGTCTGTGTTGCTTGTCTTTTGCCTTTGTGCTTTGAGAGTGGGAAGGAAGAGAGAGAGAAAGAGAAAAGTGTTGCAGGAGGGGAGATTTCCCACATCGTATTTCCCTGAAAATAAAACTGGGTCTTATCAGGGTTTAATGAAAAGTAATGCCTCCACCTTCATTACTTGGGTTTGGATGGGAATATTTTAATAAACGCAGAAATAATCCTTAGAATGTGCTCTTTAACTACCACTATTCACTTTTCCACATAATCACCAGACAACTGGATACATTTCTGCCAACGATGAAGCCGTCAAGGAAGAAGTTGACACGCTGTTTCTGCAACCAGCGTCTCACAGTTCTCTCAACGTCATTATCAGAAGCATCATGATGTCCTCACAAATTTTATTTCATTATCAGGAAGAGATGGAAGTCAGACAGTGCTAAATCTGGACTGTATGGAGGATGCCGTACGGTGGTGCGATCCAGTCTCTGAAGTTCTGCTGTGGTGGCATGTGAAGTGTGTGGTCTGGCCTTGTCATGCTGCAGGAAAACATTTCCCTTTTCCTTTCGGACCCTTGTTAGCCGTCGTTTCAAAGTTCGCAGCATTGTGATGTAACACTCTGAATTTATTGTTCCACGTTCAAGGCCTTCTCAGTGGTGGTCCCTCGGCTATGGAACACCCTTCCTAGGGACATTATATCAGCCCCCTCCCTTTTGACTTTCCGGAAAAAAAAGTCAAAACATTGCTATTTGAGCCGGCGTTTGAAAAGGCAATGTAACAGATGCAGGATTATGGAACAATTGGACTATGAGATTGGATTATGTTTTTATCTAGGAGACCAAATGATTTGTTTTTTTTACTACTGTTATAGTTTTAATTGATATGTTAATGTTTTAAAATGTTTTTATGATATTGTTGGCATTGAATTGTTGTCTTGTGAACCGCCTCGAATTGCCTGCAGGCTGAGCGGGGCAGTATACAAATGTAGCAAATAATAAATAAATAAATAAATAAATATTTTTTTTTGTCGTGTCAGGAGCGACTTGAGAAACTGCAAGTCGCTTCTGGTGTGAGAGAATTGGCTGTCTGCAAGGACGTTGTCCAGGGTACGCCCAGATGAATTGATGTTTTATCATACTTGTGGGAGGCTTCTCTCATGTCCCTGCATGAGGAGCTGGAGCTGATAGAGGGAGCTCATCCGCCTCTCCCCGGATTCGAACCTGTGACCTGTTGGTCTTCAGTCCTGCTGGCCCAGGGGTTTAAAAAAATAAGCATAGATAACACCATTTGAGGATGCCTGCCATAGATGTGAGCAAAATGTCAGGAGAGAATGCTTTGGAAACATGGCCACACAGCCTGGAAAACTCACAGCAACCCCTACATTCCATGTTTCCTCTGGCAGTGATGTCCAGTGTGAAATGCAAGAACTGAGCTGCCACTTCCTCCTTTGGGGCCTCCACCCTTGGAAATAAGCCTTAACCGGCCACTGGTTTGGTTTGTAGGAGTCGTGACAGTCGAATCCAACTTCTCTGTGTTATGTGTCTCCTGAACTCCTGAACTCATATTGGTGGCTTCCGGCAAGAGGCTATGTGTTTCCTCTGTGTTTGGGGACCGGGTCGTTCTTTCGTGGGGTCGGCTGCCCTCCCTGTTGCCTTCCTGGCTGCTCCGGACTGGAGGGGAGCCAACAGGGCCGGGCCCTTTGGCCTTATCTGCTGCTCCAACTGCAAGCTCTTGCTTTGTGCTGAATTTTATTCCTAGCTGGGACTGAGAGGGGTTGGGGAGTGCCGCCCAGGGAACAGAGCCAAACGGTACGGGCAATGTTTTCCACTTAGAGCAGAATGTTCCCTCAGGCTTCCTCTGCTCGGGGATCTCTCCCCTCGTCTCTACCGCTGCTGCTTTTCCACAAACTCTTCAAGTTCTCTCACTTTGTGCAAAAATGCAGGCCCCTGTTTCGCCTCTCTTTGAGCCTCCCAAACGCTCTCTTTCTCAGGTTCTTCCTCTGTGTTTTCACTGTTTTTATGAGTGATGGTCACTCATTGGCCTAATAGGTGTATTGTGTCCAAATTTGGTGTCAATTCACCCAGTGGTTTTTGAGTTTTGTTAATCCCACAAATGAACATTACATATATATATATATATATATATATAGAGAGAGAGAGAGAGAGAGAGAGAGAGAGAGAGAATCCCTACTTCGCGGATTTTCACTTTTCACGGGTGGCCCTGGAACATAATACCTGTGATAAGTGAGGGAACACTGTATATTGTACTACAGTACTATACTGAAATATTATTAGTAACATTACATGTAATATATCATATATAATTATTATATGAATATATTGTATTATTAGTATTATATTGTATTACAATATCATGATCAATATTATATGTACATACAATATATTATATAACCTCTGAGGATGCCTGCCATAGATGTGGGCGAAACGTCAGGAGAGAATGCTTCTGGAACATGGCCAGACAGGCCGGAAAACTCATAGCAACTCAGTGATTCTGGCCATAAAAACCTTCGACAATACATAGAACGCATACAGTTGAAACATTTTCTTTTGTGTAATTTCTTAGACAGTCATAAGACTGGTTTGCTTCCTCTTGACTAAACCTCATGCAGCCTTGGTGAAGTGTTTGGACTTGTTGCTGTTGGTACAGTATCATTAATATTATGTTGACATTGTTGGGGTTCATACCTCAAATATACATGGGCCAGGCCTCCCAGCACTGAAGCAATAGGATTTGGGGTTGAGACACTCAAACTGCTCTTCTTCAGAGCCAAAACAGATAACAAATCATGCAGCACAACCTTCAGAAACAAGGATAGCAAAAACTCTGTATCGCATATCAGGGGAAAAAAAGATTCTCCTTCA